CCCACCTCTCTGAACCCACACTATCCCTCCTCCAGCCCCCTCCCTCCCCTCCCTCCCTCCCTCCCTCCCTTCAACCTCACCTCCCCACCTCTCTGAACCCACACTATCCCTCCTCCAGCCCCCTCCATCCCTCGCTCCCCTCCCTCCCTCCCTCCCTTCACCTCACCTCCCCACCTCTCTGAACCCACACTATCCCTCCTCCAGCCCCCTCCCTCCCTCCCTTCACCTCACCTCCCCACCTCTCTGAACCCACACTATCCCTCCTCCAGCCCCCTCCCCTCCCTCCCTTCACCTCACCTCCCCACCTCTCTGAACCCACACTATCCCTCCTCCAGCCCCCTCCCTCCCTCCCTCCCTCCATCCCTCCCTCCCTCCCTCCCCCCTTCACCTCACCTCCCCACCTCTCTGAACCCACACTATCCCTCCTCCAGCCCCCTCCCTCCCTCCCTCCCTCCCTCCCTCCCTCCCTCCCTCCCTCCCTCCCTCCCTCCCTCCCTCCCCTTCACCTCCCCTCCCCACCTCTCTGAACCCACACTTCCCCCCACCCTCCTCCCTCCACTCACCCCCCACCTCTCAATCCCTCCACATCTCACTCCCCCTCCCTCCTCCCACACCCCACCCCCCTACCTCTTGAACCAACACTATCCCTCCCCCGTCCTCCCTCCTCCCTCCTCCGCCCTCCCTCAACCCCCTCCCTCCCTCCCTCCCCCCTCCCTCCCTCCCTCCCTCCCCCTCCCTCCCTTCCCTCACCTCACCCCCCCCTCCCCACCTCCCTCCCCACCTCTCTAACCCACACTATCCCTCCTCCAGCCCCCTCACATTTTGTGATGTTTTTGTTCGTTTTGGACTTCGGTGAGGGGTTTTCCGGCTGTTCGGGCACACACCATTTTCTCTGGAGGCAAGCTGAAGTTCGGAGCCATAATCTACTCCCCTTCGTCAGTGATTGGTCAACAGTAGGGATTCTTCAAGACAGTCTTTGTTGTCGTTCAAGGAGAGACGATTCGTTTTCATGCAAATTAAAGATCTCTTTGGCAAAAACTTAAACAATTTCAAAATTAATGACAGATTTCCTGCCCCCTCCCTCCCCTCTTCCCTCCCTCCCTCCCCTCCCTCCTTCCCTCCCTCTCTTCACCTGCCACCCCTCTTAGAGCCCACACCATCCCTCCTCCAGCCACCTCCCTCTCTCTCATCACCGACACCCCCATCTGTCCTCTCTCATTTCAGACAGGCAGTGAGGAGGCCTGCCCCTGCCTGCTTGCTGAGAGGCAGAGGGATCCTTCCTTGTTATTCTGTTGGCAGTAACAGTGTGTGTGATGTCACCGTGGTGTCATCCCTCGAACGCTGTCTGGCTGGCTCGCTAACTGGCACACTGGCACCCACTAATACATTCTTAATTCTTTGATTTTCAATTCTTCTTCTCCTCTCCCAAGAGTTTTCCTCCTGTCAACTGTTAAATAATTCAGTGGCAACATCATAACCCTTCCCCCCCAAAAAAACAAAATGAGCGCTTCAGGCCTTTCTTTGTCCTGCGCAGCCACGTTGCCAGCCATGTATGGAATGAGAAGCACTCCTGGAACGTTTTCCGCTGGGGTTAGCACAGGGCGGATATTTCAGAACTGTCCACTGTGTGTGTGTGTGTGTGTGTGTGTGCGTGCGGATGGGCGGGTCCTGAGGAGGATGATGAAGACTCCCAGCCTGTGGTCGCTCTCAGTGTGTCCGCACTAGCAGTGTCCCCAGATGGCCCCACACTGTATGCTGCAACACACACCTCACTGCACCACTATTAATGGTCTAGTGGACACAGCATCCTCTACAGCACTCACCAGCAGTGTTATTGGGATTCGTTACTTTAAAAAGTAATCTAGTACATATTACTCCTTTTAGATTTAACAAAAGTAATCTCGTTAAGTTTCATGGAAAGTAATGGGATTCCACCATAGGCCTTGCTACCGGTAGGCTGTCAGATGAGCTAAGGTATAGATTTCCTTTTTTAGTAGGCTAATTTTCGCCATTGTTTGGTCGATTTGGTTTGACTTCCATGCATCCTTGATGATCAGTAATTTTTATTTGATTGTGACTTATTTCAATGCATTAACCTATTACAGTACCAGTCAAAAGTTTGGACACACCTACTCATTCAAGGGTTTTTCTTTATTTTTACGATTTTCTACATTGTAGAATAATAGTGAAGACATCAAAACTATGAAATAACACATATGGAATCATGTAGTAACCAAAAAAATAGTTAAACAAATCATAATATATTTTATATTTGAGATTCTTCAAATAGCCACCCTTTGCCTTAATTGACAGCTTTGCACACTTGGCATTCTCTCAACCAGCTTCACCTGGAATGCTTTTCCAACAGTCTTGAAGGAGTTCCCACATATGCTGAGCACTTGTTGGCTGCTTTTCCTTCACTCAGCAGTCCGACTCATCCCAAACCATCTCAATTTGGTTGAGGTCGGGGGATTGTGGAGGCCAGGTCATCTCATGCAGCACTCCACCACTCTCCTTCTTGGCCAAATAGCCCTTACACAGCCTGGAGGTGTGTTTTGGGTCATTGTCCTGTTGAAAAACAAATGATCGTCCCACTAAGCCCAAACCAGATGGGATGGCGTATCGCTGCAGAATGCTGTGGTAGCCATGCTGGTTAAGTGTGCCTTGAATTTAAATAAATTACAGACATTGTCACCAGCAAAGCACCATAACACCTCTTCCTCCATGCTTTACGGTGGGAACTACATATGCAGAGATCATCCGTTCACCCACACCGCATCTCACAAAGACACGGCGGTTGGAACCAAAATTCTCCAATTTGGACTCCAGACCAAAGGACAAATTTCCACCGGTCTAATGTATATATTGGTTGCAAAAATGTTGTATAATCATTTAAATTGAAAAATTGTAGGTTTTGAATCCAGCGTCGTTTTGTGTATCATTTAATAAACCCTGTGCCATGGAATCACTACCTGGAAAATCTCTTCCCAACTATTTTATGCATGTTTCTGATTTAAATTTGTAACAAATAGGGCATTTTCATAGACTGTAAAGCCAGATCAGTGGTTATTGCAAAAAGCAGGTTAACCCACAAGAGTCGATTGGTGTGTCAATCTTAACATTTTACATTATTTGGTACATTATCGTCATTTAGCAGACGCTCTTATCCAGAGCGACTTACAGTTAGTGAGTACATACGTTTTCATACTTTTGTCCCCGTATTGGTCCCCCTTGGGACTCGAACCCACAACCCTGGCGTTGCAAGCGGCATGCGCTACCAACTGAGCTACACGGGACTTAAGTAACATAATAAAAAAAATCCCCATCAAAATCTGTCAGTTTAAGCTCGAGATATGTGGCTTTGTGGAGTAAAGTGGAATGTTTACCCTCTCAGACGCTCTCGTAAAGAAAACCTAAAGCAAAGGAGTTTTAAGTTGCGTAACTAACGGAGAGCTGAAAGTCCTGCTGCCGTGTGTGTGTGTATATATGTGGTAGTTGGAGCTGTGAGCCAAGTTGTTTTGACAATGCCTGTTTATGAGCTGGTTGTGTCCGAGTCTGGCTGCGCTGCGGCGGGTTATTTTTACCGTGGGCTGGGGACCGGCGACCAGGGAAAGGAGCTACTATAGCAGGATCTCTGACTGTGAACTAGGTCGTTGTTAGAAAGGGGTCATCCCACCAGGCAGGTGCTATATGCTACTGGGAGTCAAGCCAGCACAGTTCAGTGAGTAGCAGGAATGTGGCTGTCCTCTATGTGCAGCCGGCCGGCCGTACAGAGGCCCCAATGTATTGTGACTGTGTGACCCAGCCAGCCTCTCCCCTCTCCCCTCTCCCCTGCTCACCAAACACACAGAACGACACAGAGCTTTGCCACAGCAGCCTCTCCCCTCTCCCCTGCTCACCAAACACACAGAACGACACAGAGCTTTGCCACAGCAGCCTCTCCCCTCTCCCCTGCTCACCAAACACACAGAACGACACAGAGCTTTGCCACAGCAGCCTCTCCCCTCTCCCCTGCTCACCAAACACACAGAACGACACAGAGCTTTGCCACAGCAGCCTCTCCCCTCTCCCCTGCTCACCAAACACACAGAACGACACAGAGCTTTGCCACAGCAGCCTCTCCCCTCTCCCCTGCTCACCAAACACACAGAACGACACAGAGCTTTGCCACAGCAGCCTCTCCCCTCTCCCCTGCTCACCAAACACACAGAACGACACAGAGCTTTGCCACAGCAGCCTCTCCAATCCCCTCACTTGGTTCTGCCTGTTCCTGTTCCGTCTGGGGTGTCTGTCTCCGTCTGGGGTGTCTGTCTCCGTCTGGGGTGTCTGTCTCCGTCTGGGGTGTCTGTCTCCGTCTGGGGTGTCTGTCTCCGTCTGGGGTGTCTGTCTCCGTCTGGGGTGTCTGTCTCCGTCTGGGGTGTCTGTCTCCGTCTGGGGTGTCTGTCTCCGTCTGGGGTGTCTGTCTCCGTCTGGGGTGTCTGTCTCCGTCTGGGGTGTCTGTCTCCGTCTGGGGTGTCTGTCTCCACGGCGGGCTGCTGTTCGCACCGGTGGACCAGAGGACTCCCAGCATTGGTGCTGGACCAGCTCTGGTTACCTTTACCGGGAGCCCTGCCTTAACCGGGACCCAGATCCTAACCGCTGTCTGCCTATATCCCCCCAGAGTTACCTGGGAAACACAGGAGATATTCTGGCTCCGAGGCGCTATGCTCGGCACTTTGGGAAGGCTGTCTAGAACTTCAGGATAGATCCATCGGTGGCTTCCGGATGTTTGCCCCTCCCACCCAAATAAATGAAATGAATCTGACACAAATTACAAACGTTCAGTTTCTAGCTAGTGTTGGTTGGAAGAGCAGAGCTGTATTTGACCAATAGGAGTGAGATGACCAGCTGAATGGCTAAGGGATACACAGTAACCCATTTGATCCAGATGATTAGTTTTATCTACAGTCCAATCGGATACAAGACCGAACTCAGACAGCTTTACACTGAGGATTGTACAAATGTTTTCCTCCTGTATTGAGTTTGAATTCTTACCTTCATCCCTCTCTCTCTCTCTCGCCCCTTCCTCATTCTCCCCCCCAACAGTGTGTCCCTCCACCTGTAAGCATCGGGCCTGTACCCGACATGGCCACTGCTGCCACGACCAGTGCCTGGGAGGCTGCTCGGAGTCAGGCAACGCCAGCCGCTGTGTGGCCTGCCAGAACCTCCAGCACCAGGACACCTGCGTGGACCGCTGTCCCCAGGGATACTACACCTTCAAGGGCTGGCGCTGCGTCTCTCTCTCCTTCTGCCAGGACCTCCACAACCAGTGCAAGAACGGAAAGGGCAACGACTGCCACGAGTACGTCATCCACAACGGAGCCTGCATCCCAGAGTGTCCGTCAGGATATACCACTATCAACTCTACTACGTAAGTCTTAGATATATATATAACATGACAGCCATATACCACTATCAACTCTACTACGTAAGTCTTAGATATATATATATAACATGACAGCCATATACCACTATCAACTCTACTACGTAAGTCTTAGATATATATATATAACATTGACAGCATATACCACTATCAACTTAATACGTTAAGTTAGGTATACAGTTACTCAGAAAGTCCTACCCCTTGACTTATTCCACATGTTGTTGTGTTACAGCCTGAATTCAAAATGGATTAAATAGATTTGGTTTCTCACCCATCTACACACAATACTCCATAATGACAAAGTGAAAACATGTTTTTAGATTTTTTTTTTCAAATGTATTGAAAATGAAATACAGAAATGTCTCATTTACATAAGTATTCACACACCTTTGCCAGCGATTACAGCTGTGAGTCTTTCTGGCTAAGTCTCTTAAGAGCTTTCCACACCTGGATTGTGCAACATTTGCCCAAAATTCTTCAAGCTCTGTCAAGTTGGTTGTTGATCATTGGTAGACAGCCATTTTCAGGTCTTGCCATAGATTTACAAATAGATTTAAGTCAAAACTGTAACTCGGCCACTCAGGAACATTCACGGTCTTCTTGGTAAGCAACTCCAGTGTAGATTTGGCTTTGTGTTTTAGGTTGTTGTCCTGCTGAAAGGGGAATTCATCTCCCAGTGTCTGGTGGAAAGCAGACTGAACCAGGTTTCCCTCTAGGATTTTGCCTGTACTTAGCTCCAGTCCTGGATACTAATATGGTGCCGATAGACATTGCCTCCTTGTTTGAGGATCCAAAGCATTTCGTTTTTTTAAAATGTTATTTCTCACGTTATTAGCCCAGAACGTTCTTTACATTATTACATACAACCAGAAAGAGCTTTTAGATATCAGAGAGGCGGTAACTCACCAGCATTTCTACCAGGAATACGACTTTCCTGAATTGGATCCTTTGTTCATACTTATCCCAGAGGCTGCTGCAAGACATCACCGCCGGAGAAGAGGTATTCGGAGTGGACTTCTGGTCCGACTAAGGAGGTTTGCACACCATCCACCGCTTCCGAGTATATTACTAGCTAATGTTCAGTCCCTGGACAATAAAGTAGACGAGCTCAGGGCGAGGATCTCCTTTTCAGAGAGACATCAGGGACTGTAACATACTCTGTTTCACGGAATCATGGCTCTCTCCGGATATACTGTCCCCGTCCATACAGCCAGCTGGGTTTTCAATACATTGTGCGGACAGGAATAAAGAACTCTCTGTGAAGAAAGGCGGAGGTATATGTTTCATGATTAACTACTCATGGTGTGATTGTGGTAATGTACAGGAACTCAAGTCCTTTTGTTCACCCGACCTAGAATACCTCACAATCAAATGCCGACCGCATTACCTCCCTAGAGAATTTTCTTTGGTCATCGTCACAGCCGTGTATATTCCCCTCAAGCCGATACCACGACAGCTCTCAAGGAACTACACTGGATCTTGTGCAAACTGGAAACTGCATATCCAGAGGCCGCATTTATTATAGCTGGGGACTTTAATGCAGCAAATCTCTACCGAAGTTCTATCAACACATCGCCTGCAGTACTCGCGATTCAAAAACTCTTGAACATTGTTACTCTCCCTTTCCGGGATGGCTACAAGGCCCTCCCCCGACCTCCCTTCGGCAAAGCAGATCACGATTCTATTTTGCTCCTCCCTTCCTATAGGCAAAAACTCAAAACAGGAAATACCTGTGCTAAGGTCTATTCAACGCTGGTCTGACCAATCGGAATCCATGCTTCAAGACTGTTTTGATCACGTGGACTGGGACATATTCTCCGGTTTGCCTCTGAGAATAACATTGACGTATACAGTGCCCTCCACTATTATTGGCACCCCTGTTTAAGATGTGGTCGAGGACTTCCAAAAATTCTCCTTTTTTTTAAACAACATAGAACCCAAATGCAAAAAAAGAGAAAAATCCAACCTTTTATTTAAGTACATTACTTTGGTGGTTAAAAAAAAAATCACACATTTAGAAAAAAAAAAACTTGAAATCATGTGTCCCACAATTATTGGCACCCCTAACAATTCCGCTGAAAATTTTAATTGATTTTTTAAAAAATATATTTTTCTGTAGTTGCTAAAGTTGGTCAGGGTATCTAGGAACTTTTAATTAGTAATTCATGACTTCCTGTTTCCCTGGGGTATAAATATGACGTGACACAGAGGCCTAATTCTCTTACCCATTTGTCAACATGGCAAAGAAAAAGCCTTTTCTCACTAACACTCACAAACGTAAACGTCTGGAGTTTGCTAAGCGGCACTGGGACTTTTTGGCAACAAACACTCTAAGTGGGTCTGGCGTAAAACAAAAGATGAGTATGCCGAAAAGCACCTCATGCCCACCGTGAAGTATGGTGGAGGATCTGTGATGCTGTGGGCCTGTTTCTCTTCCAAAGGCCCTGGGAACCTTGTTAGGGTGCATGGCATTATGAACGCTTTGAACTACCAGGACATTTTAAATAAAAACCTGATGGCCTCTGCCAGAAAGCTGAAGATGGGTCGTCATTGGGTCTTTCAGCAGGATAATGATCCAAAACATGTGGCAAAATCTACAAAAAAATGGTTCAGCAGTCACAAACTCAAGGTCCTCCCATGGCCATCTCAGTCCCCAGACCTCAACCCAATCGAAAACCTGTGGGGCGAGCTAAAGAGGAGAGTGCATAAGAGAGGACCCAGGACACTGGATGATCTAGAAAGATTGTGCAAAGAAGAATGGTCAAAGATCCCTCTCTCTGTGTTCTCCAATCTTGTGAAATGTTATAGGAGGATATTAAGTGCTGTCTTGTTGGCAAAAGGGGGTTGTACAAAGTATTAACATCAGGGGTGCCAATAATTGTGGGACACATGATTTCAAGTTGTTTTTTTTCTAAATGTGTGATTTTTTTTTTTTTACACCAAAGGAATGTACTTAAATAAAAGGTTGGATTTTTCTATTTTTTTGCGTTTGGGTTCTATGTTGTTTAAAAAAAAAAGGAGAATTTTTGGAAGTCCTCGACCACATCTTAAACAGGGGTGCCAATAATTGTGGAGGGCACTGTATACTGACACAGTGACTGAGTTCATCAGGAAGTATATAGGGGATGTTGTTCCCACTGTGACGATTAAAACGTATCCAAACCAAAAACCGTGGATAGCTGGCAGCATTCGCGGAAAACTGAAAGTGCGAACCACCACTTTTAACCACTGCAAGTTGACTGGGAATATGATTGAATACAAACAGTCCAGTTATGCCCTTCATAAGGCAATCAAACAGGCAAAATGTCTCAGAGAAGAGACAAAGTGGTAGTCCCATGTAGCTCAGTTGGTAGTATGAAAAATAAAAATTCTAATAATTGTATGCACTCACTAACTGTAAGTCGCTCTGGATAAAAGCGTCTGCTAAATGACTAAAATGTAAAAATGTAAAGTGGAGTCACAATTTAACGGCTCAGACACGAGACATATGTGTCAGGGACTCCAGACAATCACGGATTATAAAGGAAAAACCAGCCACGTCGCAGACACCGATGTCTTGCTCCCTGTCAAGCTAAACACCTTCTTCGACCCGCTTCTGAGGATAACACAGTGCCGCCAACACGGGTTGCTCCAGAGGACTGTGTGCTCTCGTTCTCCATGGCCGACGTGATTAAGACATTTTAAGCGTGTTAACCCTCGCAAGGCTGCCAGCCCAGACGGCATCCCTAGCCAACCGCAGATCAGAGCATGCGCAGATCAGCTTGCTGGAGTGTTAACAGACATATTCAATCTCTCCCTATCCCAGTCCCCACTTGCTTCAAGATGTCCACCATTGTTCCTGTACCCAAGAAAGCAAAGGTAACTGCAATAAATGTCTATCACCCCGTAGCATTCACTTCTGTCATCATGAAGTGCTTTGAGAGGCTAGTTAAGGATCATATCACCTCCACCTTACCCGACACCCTAGATCCACTGCAATTTGCATACCGCCCCAACAGATCCACTGACGATGCAATCGCCATCGCACTGCACACTGCCCTATCCCATCTGGACAAGAGGAATAACTATGTAAGAATGCTGTTCATTGACTATAGCTCAGCATTCAACACCATAGTACCCTCCAAGCTCATCATTAAGCTTGTGGCCCTGGGTCTCAACCCCGCCCTGTGCAACTGGGTCCTGGACTTCCTGACGGGCCGCCCCCAGGTGGTGAAGGTAGGCATCAACATCTCCACTACACTGATCCTCAACACTGGGGCCCCACAAGGGTGCGTGCTCAGCCCCCTCCTGTACTCCCTGTTCACCCATGACTGCATGGCCACGCATGCCTCCAACTCAATCATCAAGTTTGGAGACGACACAACAGTGTAGGCCTGGTTACCAACAATGACGAGACAGCCTACAGGGAGGAGGTGAGGGCCCTGGCGGAGTGGTTCCTGGAAAATAACCTCTCACTCAACGTCAACAAAACGAAGGAGCTGATCGTGGACTTCAGGAGACAGCAGAGGAACACGCCCCCATCCACATCGACGGGGCCGCAGTGGAGAAGGTGAAAAGCTTCAAGTTCCTCAGCGTGCACATCACTGACAATCTGAAATGGTCCACCCACACAGACAGTGTGGTGAAGAAGGCGCAACAGCGCCTATTCAACCTCAGGACGCTGAAGAAATTTGGCTTGACCCCTAAGACCCTCACTTTTACAGATGCACCATTGAGAGCATCCTGTCGGGCTGCATCACCGCCTGGTATGTCAACTGCACCGCCCTCAACCGCAGGGTTCTCCAGAGGGTGGTGCGGTCAGCCCATCGCATCACCGGGAGTACACTGTCTAAAGTCCTTAAAGTCCTGGCTGACCTCACAGCAGAGATGTTAAAGTCCTGGCTGACCTCACAGCAGAGATGTTAAAGTCCTGGCTGACCTCACAGCAGAGATGTTAAAGTCCTGGCTGACCTCACAGCAGAGATGTTAAAGTCCTGGCTGACCTCACAGCAGAGATGTTAAAGTCCTGGCTGACCTCACAGCAGAGATGTTAAAGTCCTGGCTGACCTCACAGCAGAGATGTTAAAGTCCTGGCTGACCTCACAGCAGAGATGTTAAAGTCCTGGCTGACCTCACAGCAGAGTTTAGATGAATATGACAATAGAGGAGGAGGTCAAAACATCACACGTCTGTCTCGCTGTCTGATGTCCCCTGACCTGGCTAGGACGTATAGTGTCTACTCTACACACACCACATACATACATAAATACACTCCTTACTGTATACTCCAAATCTCTGACTGACTAGGCCTGGGCCTCCTGGCCTGCTAATGGGCCGGGCTGGAGCGGAGTAACAACACCAACCGTGTGCCATGCTCCTATTTGACACCAGAGACTGTTCCCTTTGTGGCTCTGAGTGACTGGTCACCTGACGCTTTCACAGTAAACAGCAGGCTCTGGAACAGCACGGGCACAGAGCCTCTGTTGGTTTTCATTGGGCTGCGTCCCAAATGGCACCCTCTTTCCTACGTAGTCCACTTCTTTCGACCTATAGGGCTCTGTTCAAAAGTAACTAGCCTGTACAGGGAATAGGGTGCTATTTGGGACGCATTCTCAGGACATTTGGCTTTATTTTCGACAGTTTAAACAGTTAAGTCTCAGAAAGAGACTGGTTTAGCAGAGATGAGGAGACATGACGTCTTCCCAAAGCCACACGCTGGCCCGTGATTGATGGTGTTGGTGTGTTGATCGTGTAGCTTAATGTGTTCTGGGAAGGCAGCGGGCCGCTGTGGACTGAACGTGTTGCTGAATGTGTTAGCCAGCGTCTCCAGTGTTTGCTGCACTGTGTTGCTTTTTTCCAGAGGACAGCATTGGTCTGAGCGCTGTTTAGCTTTTTCCAGAGGACAGTGTTGGTCTGAGCGCTGGGCTAGTCTAGGGAAATGCCCACCGTCCAGGTAGGTAAAGGTAGAAATACATTTGTTTAGGTGGCAAACACCACACACACACACACACACACACACACACACATACACACAAACACAAACATACACACTGGAAGTCCTGGAATGTACACTCTCTCATACTGAACACCAGAGCTGGGACCAAATCACTATTATTCGAGTCACAAGCAAGTCACAAGGACCAAGTCTCAAGTCGAATCCCAAGTAGAACGGGTCAAGACACGAGTCAAGTCCAAGTCGTACATTCTAAGAGCAAGTTGAATCGAGTTTAAGTCAAGTAAAATAAAATATATCCATGCAACGACTTGTTCAACTACAAATCTTTGTCTATTTGTTGAGGCTACCAGACAGCCCTTTACATTATTTAGTCTACAACACATTTTCATTAGCCCATGTAACTGTAAAATAGGGACCTAGTAGCAGTCGTAAGGGCATGAAATCAGCAGAAGGCAAGGCAGGTTGACGTGATGGCAAGGCAGGTTGACGTGATGGCAAGGCAGGTTGACGTGATGGCAAGGCAGGTTGACGTGATGGCAAGGCAGGTTGACGTGAAGGCAAGGCAGGTTGACGTGATGGCAAGGCAGGTTGACGTGATGGCAAGGCAGGTTGACGTGATGGCAAGGCAGGTTGACGTGATGGCAAGGCAGGTTGACGTGATGGCAAGGCAGGTTGACGTGATGGCAGGCAGGTTTGACGTTAAAGGCAAGGCAGGTTGATTGTACTTTTTATTTACAATCTCGTGGTGATCCACTGGTGAAAGCGCCATAAGCATACAAATATACAAGTTATAATTTATCAAATACAACATGGGCAATAGCCCAAAACAAAATAGCCCTCTGTTATCAAGGCTTAACCTTTCCAAATCTGGAACGGACACAGGTAAAGGCAAGACTGCACAGCCTCCCCTTGAGAAACCAAATTGAATCTGTCTGACAGGAGCTCAAACAGGTAGGCCCTACAGAAGTATAGACCACTTGGACCCCAGGACCATACAATTACCCAATTGGCAATTACAACCAATGAACGGGTTCTACAATGTAAAAAGGCAATTTATATAATACATTGGTACATTCTTCTTAATCAGACTTAATGATTATTAACGATATTTCAACACCATGCATACATGGAACAGTCATTTTATCTTATTCAACGTTCTGACTCCAAAGCCACATAGCCTATTTCTATGAGCACTGAACTGAGCGTTTCTATTACACACAACAAACATGACAGAGACACAGTTACACGGAACTCCGACATAACCCAGGAAATATTAACAAAGGAAACCATACATTGAATTAAATAAACAGAACTTCTACCTCATGAGTCTTGCCAGGTCCACTATAAACATCGCGCCCACTCAGAGCAGGGGTAAGAAATGGTTAGCTAAATGAAAATGTATCGTAGGCCTATCAAACATGAAACAGTGATTGTCTACGTGTTGCAATAAACGGTACGGGGATGGAATGATGAAACACTAGCAATTATTGTAGTATTAGATGGAATATAGATTGACCACATAGGGCCTTTGCGTTTAAACATGTGAAAGCAACAGTAAAAAATGTCAACAAGAGACAAAAATATACTCTCCACTGGCGGGAGTTTGGAGAGCGCACATGAAGAGCCTCACCACGGTAATAATTCATTTTAACAACAAATTCCAAAATGCAAGCTCCATAAGTAAATTATCAATTTCAAGCAATTGTTACATACCAAAAGACCAGTAGGCCTATGTTAGTAATTGTTGCCCCATTGCTGGTGAGCTTTGTAATGTAAACCGTTAACATTCTTGATCACCAATCAACTTTTGGAGCTGGATGTTAAACGCATGGTCTCCCGAGTGGCGCAGTGGTCTAAGGCACTGCATCGCAGTGCTAGCTGTGCCACTAGAGATCCTGGTTCGAATCGAGGCTCTGTCGTAGCTGGCCGTGACCGGGAGACCCATGGGGCGGCGCACAATTGGCCCAGCGTCGTCCAGGGTAGGGGAGGGAATGGCCGGCAGGGTTGTAGCCCAGCTGGTAGCGTTTGCAACGCCAGGGTTGTGGGTTCGATTCCCACGGGGGGCCAGTATGATTTTTTTTTTAAAATAATAATAATTTGTATGCACTCACTAACTGTAAGTCGCTCTGGATAAGAGCGTCTGCTAAATGACTAAAATGTAAATGTAATGTTTATTTATTATGGCTTTCCTCTCTTCCTACAATTTGACGTCTGCGCTGCACCCCGATCCGATCCTATAGCTCCCAAATACTCAACTGGCAGACCGGGGACCGGATCCGGACAGAAAACGGGGTCAATACGGACCCCTGGTATCATATAAACACACATAAGACATGGAAGAAGGCGTAGAATTGCAGGAAATAGGCTTTAAAACAGCAAAAACAATCTCTGTCCCATGCTAAATGTGTAGAAGTGCGGGAAACTAGTTTTAAAACTGCAACATTTTCTCTCTGCCAACAACAGGGGTGTGAACAGTTTGGAGTCGCATGGGTTATTTAGGGCGGCAGGTAGCTTAGTGGTTAAGAGCGTAGTGCCAGTAACCGAAAGGTCGCTGGTTCTAATCCCTGAGCCGACTAGGTGAAAAATCTGTCGATGTGCCCTTGAGCAAGGCACTTAACCTTAATTGCTCCTGTAAGTCGCTCTGGATAAGAGCGTCTGCTAAATGACTAAAATGTAAAATGGTACTTGAGTACCCCTGCTATAGCTGTAGAGCATATCAGCAATCTGTTGGCTATCTCACCCGACCAGTGTTGATTGACAGTTTGCTGGTCCAATCAGAGTGCTGAGTGTGCGTTTCACTAGCCAATCTGTTGCAGGTTATTTCTGCAAGGGCGACGCTGCAGCTACTGTCTCTGGCTGCGTGTAGAGTCATCCACGTAGACTCTGTGACACAAAATGAGTGACAAAACATGACAAAACCTGGCCAGATCATTTCAAGTCATCAGTCTCATGTCAAAGTCGAGTCCCGAGTCTTGAAGCTCCAAGTCGAAGTCAAGTCTCAAGTTATTTTATTTTCTGTCAAGTCTAGTCTCAAGTCATCAAATTTGTGAATCGAGTCAAACTTAAGTCCAAGTCATGTGACTCAAGTCCACAACTCTGCAGCTTCAACATTCCTCCACTTCATTCCTCAACCTATTAAGCCTGACCTTAGGACCTTTCTAGAGCCACAACCCCAGGGAAACACCCTGGGACCTTCAATTCCTTCCTGACATTTTACCCACTGCTGATGGCTTTCCTCAGCATTTAGCCAACTAACAGAGATTACTAGGTGCTTCAGGCTATGAGGAAGAGAGATTCACAAAGTGTTCCGAAGGACATTTCTTAAAATCTCATACTACAGTACATACTCAGAGAGATTCAGGCTCATAGTACGGTACGTTCTTAGAGAGAGAGATTCTGGCTCATAGAACGGTACGTTCTCAAGAGATTCACACACATGCCATCCAGTATGATAAGGAAGTTGCTAGATGATTATTTTCCATTCTGCAGCCGTTACGACATCAGGGACTGTTGAAGTTCTCCGCTGCTGGGCCGAGGGAGGGAGCGTCCGTAACCAGACACACAAATCACCCTCACAGACACACAGACAGGGCTGGGGCTGGGGTGCTGGCTGGGGCTGGGCCTCAAGGGGCTGGCTGTGGCTGGGGCACTGACTGGGGCTGGGCCTCAAGGGGCTTGCTGTGGCTGTGGCGCTGACTGGGGCTGGGCCTCAAGGGGCTGGCTGTGGCTGTGGCTGGGCTGGGCAGAGGCTGTGAGTGGGGGGCTGGGGCAGAGGGAGGCTGGGATGGCGAGACACTTTCTACATGCTACCTTTTCTTGAGCTAGGCTTGAAATCAGCCATCAGGGGTTAAGAGCGTTCAGCCCGTAACCCAAAGGTTGCTGGTTTGAATCCCCGAGCTGACTAGGTGAAAATTCTGTCTGTGCACTTGAGCAAGGTACTTAACCCTAATTGCTCCTGTAAGTCATTGGATAAGAGTGTCTGCTAAATTACTAAAATGTTATGTAAATGACAGAGGAATCACTGTGCAATCCTATCCCATCTCTCTCTCCACCAACCGCTAGCACAGCGGTTAGGCCGCTCTGCTTTCTAGACATTTCCGCGGCGTTCGTTCTGCCTTTCCACATGAATATCCATGACGACAAGCACGAATGAGGAATTTGCTAATCTTTCCTTGAAACACTGACGGCACTGCAGCAGCCCTAAGTCAGTCTGCAGAGTGCGGAGGTTCTCCGGGCTGCAGCTAAATACTAAAAGATTTTCCCATGAGGCTCAGGACAGGTAGGCCCCAGGAAGTGGTGTTTTTCCTGTCCAAGGTCACAGTGAGATGGATCAGAGAGTGTCTGTGTGTTTTGTTCAATACAACTACTTTAACATGTATTATTTCTATGCTCCAGAGCATTAAGTTAGAAAGGTTCATTTATATATTACATTTTTTCTTTCCCTTGATCATTATATAGTTTTTCCACTAGGCCAAATTTAAAGTCAGTGGAAAATCAAGCTGATTTGGCTGATTTGGTGTAAAGTAATAGAACCTGGATAAGATTGAACCGCTAATAATTAAGCAGAATTTAGTTCAATAGGAAAGGAACTGGGTGGCAACCCCAGGCCAAACTCTGGCTCAGAAAAACTGATTCTCAACCACTGTTGTGTTTCAAAGAGTGGCGTCCAAACTTTTTGGGGCGTTTGGGGAGGGGTGGAACAGTGCCTACAGAAAGTGTACACCCCCCTTGAACTTTTCACATTTCACATCAGTGCGATTGAAATAGATTGAATTTCTTAAAAAATGTAATTGATCTACAAAATGTTCCAGAATGTCTAAATGAAAATACAATTATACAAATGTGTACAAATTAATAAAAACTAAATAACTAAAATATAGTCATTACATAAGTGTTCACCCCCTTTGTTTAGGCAAGCCTAAATGAGTTCAAGAGTACAATTTGGCTAACAAATCATGTATTAAACCCAGACACATCAAAGATGCAGTTGTCCTTCTGAACTGAGCTGCAGGACAGGAAGGAAACTGCTTAGGGATGTCACCATGAGGCCATTGGTGATTTTTAAACGGCTACAGAGTTCAAGGGCTGTGATGAGAGAACTGAGGATGGATCAACAACATTGTACTGACTCGACAATAATGACCTAAATGACAGAGTGAAAAGAAGAATACAAATATACAGAGTATTCCAAAACATGCATATGTATGCAACAAGGCACTAAAGTAATACTGGAAGAAGGAAAAAACATGGCAAAGGAATACACTTTTTGGCCTAAATGCAAAGCCTTACGTTTGGGACAACACATCACTGAGTAACTGCCTCCTTATGCTCAGTCATGGTGGTGGCTGCATCATGTTATGGGTATGCTTGATATCGGCAAAGACTGGGGAGTTTTTAAAGATGAAAAAAAAAAAAACAGGATGGAGCTAAGCACGGGCAAAATCCTAGAGGAAACCCTGCTTCAGTCTGCTTTAATTCACCTTTAAGCAGGACAATGACCTACAACACAAAGCCAAATCTACACTGGAGTTGCTTACCAAGAAGACTGTGAATGTTCCTGAGTGGCCAAGTTACAGTTTTGACTTAAATCTGCTTCTAAATCTATGGCAAGACTTGAAAATTGCTGCTCTAGCCATGATCCCCAACACCTTGACAGAGCTTGAATAATTTTTTTAAGGGGCAGATATTGCACAATACAGGTGTGCAAAGCTTTTATGAGACTTACCCAAGAAGACTCACAGCTGTGATCGCTGCCAAAGGTGTTTCTAACATGTATTGACTCAGGGGGTTGAATACTTATCTAATCAAAGTAAATTCTTTATTTTATTTTATTAATCATAAAAATAATGTTATTTATTACCAACAGAGAATTAGGTCGCCAGAGAATGGTAATCCATGCTGCTGAACTAGCACCTCACGGGAACAATAGCCTGCTTTGTCTGGCAGCGGTGGACTCAGGACTGCTTTTAAATAGGTGGCTGTTAAGGGGGCTGTTTGACGCCATTGTCTCCCCCCATCGTTGAGTTTTGGAAGCCTGATTGGATTTCTGAAACTCTCCCTCTCTTACCTCTCTTATCCGTCGCCCCCTCCTGGGTATGTTTATACCAGGAATAATTTGTCGGAATTCGCTTGTTTCTCGCAGAAGCCACCTTGGAATGGTCTGCTTGGGGAAGTTAGTCAGTCTGTCAGTCATGCAGCAATAACTCTTGTTCTATAATACGGCCCCACCGTCTCCCCTCTCAGCCTCACCCCTATAACCCCCACCGTCTCCCCTCTCAGCCTCACCCCTATAACCCCCACTGTCACCCCTCTCAGCCTCACCCCTATAACCCCCACGTCTCCCCTCTCAGCCTCACCCCTACAACCCCCACTGTCCCCCTCTCCAGCCTCACCCCTATAACCCCCACCGTCTCCCCTCTCAGCCTCACCCCTACAACCCCCACTGTCTCCCCTCTCAGCCTCACCCCTACAACCCCCACTGTGTCCCCTCTCAGCCTCACCCCTACTAACCCCACTGTCTCCCCTCTCATGCTCACCCCTAAACCCCCACTGTCTCCCCTCAGCCTCACCCCTACAACCCCCACCGTCCTCCCCTCTTAGCCTCACCCCTACAACCCCCCCCTGTCTCCCCTCTCTCGCCTCACCCCTACAACCCCCACCGTCTCCCCTCTCAGCCTCACCCCTACAACCCATATCGCCTCCCTCTCACCCCGGTTCCTCTCCCCAGGTCCCCTTCTCTCCCTCCATTTCTCCCTGTTTGTTTCCAGATGAGCAGCTAACGGCGAGATAGAGGCATTTCTTAGCATTAAGTAGTGTGACACTGGGGTTACGATCTGTTGAGGTGTGTGTGTGAGCACTGTAGACTAGAGCGAGATTGGATGAGGGCCTTTTAGCTCATGTCTAAAACCGATACAGAACGTGTGGAGGAGATGGCTGCTCGGTCCCTGGCTGCTCAGCGGCGGCTGTTTTGTGAATGAACTGGCAAGTCCCTTTTTGCTCGGTCCCTGGCTGCTTGGTCCCTGGCTGCTTGGTGGCGGCTGTTTTGTGAATGAATTCCTGAAAGGCAATGCTATCAGAGCTCGGCAGATCAGCTCTCTGTATCAGAGGAGAAGAGAGAAAGACACTCACTGCGCCTTACCACAAAACACTTCCACTACACAACCACTTCCTCTCTCTCTCCCCGTTTCTCTCTCTCCCTTTTGTTTCTCTTGTCACTCACTCCTCCCTTTCGTACACACTCCCTTTCTTGCTCTCTCTCTCTCCCCTTCTCACTCGCTTCCTGTCTTTTTTCAATTAGGCACTCTACCAATCTTTTATTGACCAATGTTGACATCTTTGAGAGAGAGAGAGAGAGAGAGACAGAGAGAGAGAGAAGAGAGAGAGATATGAGAGAGAGAGATAGAGAGAGAGCGAATGAGAGATCTAGAGAGAGAGAGAGCTCGCGCTAGAGTAGAGGTAGAGACGAGCACTCTCGCTCTCTCTCTCTCTCTCTTCATTCTCTCTCTTCCTTGCTCTCCTCCTCTCTTCCGCTCTCGACTCTCTCTCTAGCTCTCGCTGCCCTCTCTTCTCGCCTCTCTCTACTCCTCTCTCTCAGCGCCAGCAGGTCAAACATGAAGTTGGTACTCCAGCCATGTTGTTGTGCTGTTAGAGCTCTAAACTACAAAGGGAAGAGGGGGATGAGGAAGTATCCCAGCTAGCTACTGCAGATGAGGGCCGTTACATCATCTAATTCCCCAATAAGCCTTTGGCTTCATTTAATGAATTATCAAATTGAATTTAGAGAATTATACAAATCCCTGGATATCTGCACTCATTCAAAATGTATCATTCTATTTCAAGGTGTTGTTTGATAGTTGTTAAACATCAGAAGGAATTATTATCATAATTGGGTTTTACTGTACTTGGGGAGCGTACTGCAGAAACTGATGTCTAAATCACCTCTTATTATTTCATGGCTTCAAAGGAATCAGACCCATAGAAGTATAATCTCTTCTATTTCTGTGATCACATTGGTTGTGAATAAAACCCCATTCACAGACAGTTGGACTGTAAGTTGGCGTTCAAGTGAGAGATTCCCTAGCAACCGGTGATCCACATGATGCTGTGGTCCTGGTGAATGGCTCTTTCAGACGTGATCCATTACTTCTCCTTGAGCTGAGGAGCGGTCTCCAAAGCTGCTTGGCCCATGTTTACTTTGGATGGAAAATCAGTTCCTCTGGGTAGGGCTGTGGCGGTCATGAAATGTTGTCATCTGGTTATTGTCATGCAAAAAGACTGCCGTCTCACGGTAATTGACCGTTAATTAATATTAATTAGTCTAAGGCACTGCATCGCAGTGCTAGCTGTGCCATTAGAGATCCTGGTTCGAATCCAGGCTCTGTCGTAGCCGGCCGCGACCGGGAGACCCATGGGGCGGCGCACAATTGGCTGAGCGTCGTCCAGGGTAGGGGAGGGAATGGCCGGCAGGGATGTAGCTCAGTTGGTAGAGCATGGCGTTTTCAACGCCAGGGTTGTGGGTTCGATTCCCACGGGGGGCCAGTATGAAAAAGAAAAAAAGAAAAAAAAAATGTATGTAGTCTCTAACTGAAAGTCGCTCTGGATAAGGGCGTCTGCTAAATGACTAAAATGTCAAATGTAAATGTAACACTTTTAGCATCTCCAGGCCTCCATGCATACAAGCCGCTGATGCGCGCCTTTGGAACATCTACGTTTTAAAAAGTAGAATAAATCAATGTAATATACACCATCACAATAAATCCCTTTTTTTATTTTAGTCAGGTCTAAAGAAACATTATGATATGAAGAAAATGTATTTCAGAAGAACAGAATAGGAGTTGGCCTACTGTATGTTATCTGGCTATGCTCCATGCCATAGGCTGTAGGCTTGTTCATTTAGCAGACAAGATATGCTTATAAGTCCCCTGACATTATTTTATATTATATGATTTTGTATAAGAAGAATATCATATAACTTAGCTGAATAAAATATAAATAATATTATTCCCATTCCAGAGCGAGTGCGCATATGAAGTGGCTATGTTGAGTGTAAAAGTGATCATTTGAAACAGGTCCTATATGCTAGATTGAGTTATTTAGCAACTTTAGTTGTGAATGATACAAACCTTAAAAATCTAAACATATATGGGCAACTATGGGCTGCACAATGCAACTATAGGCTATAGATGATTAGACAAAGTTGCAACAAAAAAAAAGCTTGATCATATATTCACCCATCAGACTATTCTCAATTTAATATTTTCTTTACTAATATGTAAAATATATTTTGATTTAGAATGGCCCATTTATCAAATGGTCAGGAACAGGGGCAGGGGAAAAAGACATGTCATCCATATGCACTCGAATAGCGAATGGAGGCCACTGGTTCGTTTTTTTTTTCACTCAAACCTCGTAGGCTACGCAGGTTATTTCACTCCACACATCACCCACTGTTTTAAGGAGCCTGCAGCCTCTCGCTGTGCAACAGGTGATATTCTGCCCAAACTCTGTATGCCATGGGGCTCTCCAACCCTGTTCCTCCAGCTACCCAGTGCTCTGTATGCCATGGGGCTCTCCAACCCTGTTCCTCCAGCTACCCAGTACTCTGTATGCCATGGGGCTCTCCAACCCTGTTCCTCCAGCTACCCAGTGCTCTGTATGCCATGGGGCTCTCCAACCCTGTTCCTCCAGCTACCCAGTACTCTGTATGCCATGGGGCTCTCCAACCCTGTTCCTGCAGCTACCCAGTACTCTGTATGCCATGGGGCTCTCCAACCCTGTTCCTCCAGCTACCCAGTACTCTGTATGCCATGGGGCTCTCCAACCCTGTTCCTCCAGCTACCCAGTACTCTGTATGCCATGGGGCTCTCCAACCCTGTTCCTCCAGATACCCAGTACTCTGTATGCCGTGGGCTCTCCAACCCTGTTCCTCCAGCTACCCAGTACTCTGTATGCCATGGGCTCTCCAACCCTGTTCCTCCAGCTACCCAGTACTCTGTATGCCATGGGCTCTCCAACCCTGTTCCTCCAGCTACCCAGTACTCTGTATGCCATGGGCTCTCCAACCCTGTTCCTCCAGCTACCCAGTGCTCTGTATGCCATGGGGCTCTCCAACCCTGTTCCTGCAGCTACCCAGTACTCTGTATGCCATGGGGCTCTCCAACCCTGTTCCTCCAGCTACCCAGTACTCTGTATGCCATGGGGCTCTCCAACCCTGTTCCTCCAGCTACCCAGTACTCTGTATGCCATGGGCTCTCCAACCCTGTTCCTCCAGCTACCCAGTACTCTGTATGCCGTGGGCTCTCCAACCCTGTTCCTCCAGATACCCAGTACTCTGTATGCCGTGGGCTCTCCAACCCTGTTCCTCCAGCTACCCAGTACTCTGTATGCCATGGGCTCTCCAACCCTGTTCCTCCAGCTACCCAGTACTCTGTATGCCATGGGCTCTCCAACCCTGTTCCTCCAGCTACCCAGTACTCTGTATGCCATGGGCTCTCCAACCCTGTTCCTCCAGATACCCAGTACTCTGTATGCCATGGGCTCTCCAACCCTGTTCCTCCAGCTACCCAGTACTCTGTATGCCATGGGCTCTCCAACCCTGTTCCTCCAGATACCCAGTGCTCTGTATGCCATGGGCTCTCCAACCCTGTTCCTCCAGCTACCCAGTACTCTGTACGCCATGGGCTCTCCAACCCTGTTCCTCCAGCTACCCAGTGCTCTGTATGCCATGGGGCTCTCCAACCCTGTTCCTGCAGCTACCCAGTACTCTGTATGCCATGGGGCTCTCCAACCCTGTTCCTCCAGCTACCCAGTACTCTGTATGCCATGGGGCTCTCCAACCCTGTTCCTCCAGCTACCCAGTACTCTGTATGCCATGGGCTCTCCAACCCTGTTCCTCCAGATACCCAGTACTCTGTATGCCGTGGGCTCTCCAACCCTGTTCCTCCAGATACCCAGTACTCTGTATGCCGTGGGCTCTCCAAACCCTGTTCCTCCAGCTACCCAGTACTCTGTATGCCATGGGCTCTCCAACCCTGTTCCTCCAGCTACCCAGTACTCTGTATGCCATGGGCTCTCCAACCCTGTTCCTCCAGATACCCAGTACTCTGTATGCCATGGGCTCTCCAACCCTGTTCCTCCAGCTACCCAGTACTCTGTATGCCATGGGCTCTACAACCCTGTTCCTCCAGCTACCCAGTACTCTGTATGCCATGGGCTCTCCAACCCTGTTCCTCCAGATACCCCAGTACTCTGTATGCCATGGGGCTCTCCAACCCTGTTCCTCCAGCTACCCAGTACTCTGTATGCCATGGGGCTCTCCAACCCTGTTCCTCCAGCTACCCAGTACTCTGTATGCCATGGGCTCTCCAACCCTGTTCCTCCAGCTACCCAGTACTCTGTATGCCATGGGCTCTCCAACCCTGTTCCTCCAGATACCCAGTACTCTGTATGCCATGGGCTCTCCAACCTGTTCCTCCAGCTACCCAGTACTCTGTATGCCATGGGCTCTCCAACCCTGTTCCTCCAGATACCCAGTACTCTGTATGCCGTGGGCTCTCCAACCCTGTTCCTCCAGCTACCCAGTACTCTGTATGCCATGGGCTCTCCAACCCTGTTCCTCCAGCTACCCAGTACTCTGTATGCCGTGGGCTCTCCAACCCTGTTCCTCCAGCTACCCAGTACTTTGTATGCCATGGGCTCTCCAACCCTGTTCCTCCAGCTACCCAGTACTCTGTATGCCATGGGCTCTCCAACCCTGTTCCTCCAGCTACCCAGTACTCTGTATGCCATGGGCTCTCCAACCCTGTTCCTCCAGCTACCCAGTACTCTGTATGCCATGGGCTCTCCAACCCTGTTCCTCCAGATACCCAGTACTCTGTATGCCATGGGCTCTCCAACCCTGTTCCTCCAGATACCCAGTACTCTGTATGCCGTGGGCTCTCCAACCCTGTTCCTCCAGCTACCCAGTACTCTGTATGCCATGGGCTCTCCAACCCTGTTCCTCCAGCTACCCAGTACTCTGTATGCCGTGGGCTCTCCAACCCTGTTCCTCCAGCTACCCAGTACTCTGTATGCCATGGGCTCTCCAACCCTGTTCCTCCAGCTACCCAGTACTCTGTATGCCATGAGCTCTCCAACCCTGTTCCTCCAGCTACCCAGTACTCTGTATGCCATGGGGCTCTCCAACCCTGTTCCTCCAGATACCCAGTACTCTGTATGCCATGGGCTCTCCAACCCTGTTCCTCCAGCTACCCAGTACTCTGTATGCCATGGGCTCTCCAACCCTGTTCCTCCAGCTACCCAGTACTCTGTATGCCATGGGGCTCTCCAACCCTGTTCCTGCAGCTACCCAGTGCTTAATTTGGGAAACCAAGTGAAATCTGTTCGGGAACGTCGATAGTAACATGTTTTTTCACAACGAAACAAATGTCATTGTACTGTTGACTCTGCCCGCTGGAAAAAGGAATGAAGGAGAGAGGGAAGGGGATAGAAATGCACGGTGGTGAGATATTCTATAGCTAAAGGTAATGTCAGCCTATTAACTATGAAAATATTTTTTAAAAATGCCCTATTACTCGGCTATTCAAAATCAAATACAAAGTCACTGTAATTCTAGACTTACTCTGAATGTGTTTAATTTTGGAGTATAGGCTAGACTAATTATGTACCAAAGACATCTTAAATAACAAATAATAATAAATATTATTTTTCTGCCGTGTGTAATATGTAGTAGACTATGTATTGTATAACGGCACAACCATTTTAAATTCAGGGTTATTTTTTCGGGCTTGGGCTCATATACGGAAAGTATTCAGACCCCTTGACTTTTTCCACATTTTGTTACGTTACAGCCTTATTCTAAAATGGATTAAATTGATTTTTTTTCTACTCATCAATCTACACACAGTACCCCATAATGACAAAGCAAAAAAACCGTTTTTTTTATAGATTTTTGCTAATTTATAACAAAACAAAAATGGAAATATCACATTTACATAAGTATTCAGACCCTTTACTCAGTACTTTGTTGAAGCACCTTTGGCATTGATTACAGCCTCGAGTCTTCTTGGGTATGACGCTACAAGCTTGGCACACCTGTATTTGGGGAGTTTCTCCCATTCTTCTCTGCAAATCGGCTCAAGCTCTGTCAGGTTGGATGGGGAGCGTCGCTGCACAGCTATTTTCAGGTCTCTCCAGAGATGTTCGATCGGGTTCAAGTCCAGGTTCTGGCTGGGCCACTCAAGGAAATTCAGAGATTTGTCCCGAAGCCACTCCTGTGTTGTCTTTGCTGTGTGCTTAGGGTCGTTGTCCTGTTGGAAGGTCAACCTTCGCCCCAGTCTGAGGTTCTGAGCGCTCTGGAGCAGGTTTTCATCAAGGATCTCTCTGTACTTTGCTCCGTTCATCTTTCCCTTGATCCTGACTAGTCTCCCAGTCCCTGCCACTGAAAAATATCCCCACAGCATGATGCTGCCACCACCATGCTTCACCGTAGGGATGGTGCCAGGTTTCCTTCAGACGTGACGCTTGGCATTCAGGCCAAAGAGTTGAATCTTGGTTTCATCAGACCAGAGAATCTTGTTTCTCATGGTCTGAGAGTCTTTAGGTGCCTTTTGGCTCCAAGCGGGATATCATGTGCTTTTTACTGAGGAGTGGCTTCTGTCTGGCCACTCTACCATAAAGGCCTGATTGGTGGAGTGCTGCAGAGATGGTTGTCCTTCTGGAAGGTTCTCCCATCTCCACAGAGGAACTCTAGAGCTCTGTCAGAGTGACCATCGGGTTCTTGGTCACCTCCCTGACCAAGGCCCTTCTCCCCTGATTGCTCAGTTTGGCCGGGGGCCAGCTCTAGGAAGAGTCTTGGTAGTTGCAAACTTCTTCCATTTAAGAATGATGGAGGCCACTAGGTTCTTGGGGACCTTCAATGCTGCAGACATTTTTTGGTACCCTTCCTCAGATCTGTTCCTTCGGCACTATCCTGTCTCTGCGGTCTACAGTACAGTTCCTTCGACCTCATGGCTTGGTTTTTGCTCTGACATGCACTGTCAACTGTGGGACCTTATATAGACAGATTTGTGCCTTTCCAAATAATGTCCAATCAATTGAATCTACCACAGGTGGACTCCATCAAGTTGTAAAAACATCTCAAGGATGATCAATGGAAACAGGATGCACCTGAGCTCAATTTCATGTCTCATAGCAAAGGGTTTGAATACTTATGTAAATAAGGTATTTCTGTTTTGTAATTTTTATAAATTGGCAAACATTTCTAAAAACCTGTTTTCACTTTGTCATTATGGGGTATTGTGTGTAGATTGCTGAGGACATTTATTTTTAAATCCATTTTAGAATAAGGCTGTAACATAACAAAATGTGGAAAAAGTCAAGGGGTCTGAATACTTTCCTAAGGCACTGTATAGGCCTATGCATAAGCTCTGTTTTGAATTAATCTTCACCTTAGAAAGCGCTGTCCAGGCTTTGAAACAACATCCAACACGACCATGTTTTCCACTCAGTTTCAACCCGTTGTTGAACTTCTTTCTTCAAATTGATCGATCACAGTGTGGTGAGTTTTAAAAAGCACGATACTGTTTTGATGAGTGTTTGAACACTCAAACACCTTTGGGATGAATTGGAACGCCGACTGCGAGCCAAGGCCTAATCGCCCAACACCAGTACCCGACCTCACTAATGCTCTTGTGGCTGAATGGAAGCAAGTCCCCGCAGCAATGTTCCAACATCTAGTGGAAAGCCTTCCCAGAAGAGTGGAGGATGTTATAGCAGCAAAGGGGGAGACCAACTCCATATTAATGCCTATGATTTTGGAATGAGAGATGTTCGACGAGCAGGTGTCCACATACCTATTTAGATGTAGTGTAGTTCAACCTCTTTTCTCCTTTGTCCGCGCCTCTTGTAAAATTCCTTCTTTTCAGAAGAGCATGAACGGGCCTACTCGTCCCAGGGCTGTCACAAACATCCAAGGCATTTTGATATAGAGGTGACAAGAGAAAATGTTTCTGTTCTGGGGACGTTGTTCACCTGTTGGGTAATGAAGTGACGTGGGCCTGAAAGAACATTAAAGTTTGGGCATGTCTTGAGGAATATCTCAAACTTGACAGCACTGATTTTGGATCACACAGACAAGTTATTTCATTCCTTTTCTTGGATTAAATTCCATTTCCTTATTAGCTAGCTTATTGTGACGGCGCCATGTGTAATGGGTGTGACAGTGTTCCGTAACGGGTGTGTGTGTATGTTTCCCTCTCTGCAGGTTGAACTGTACTCCGTGCGCGGGGCTGTGTCCTAAGATGTGTGCGGGGGTGAAGACAGTAGACTCTGTGACAGCAGCCCAGGCTCTGAGAGGATGCACCGTGCTCAACGGCAGCCTGGTCATCAAGATCCGTGGAGGAAGTAAGTACAGTACACCCTCACTACCAACCAACCCCCACTACCAACCACCCCCACTACCAAACCAACCACCCTCACTACCAACCAACCACCCTCACACACACCACCCTCCCAACACCAACTACAACCACACCACCCTCACTACCACCACCACCCCCCACTAACCAACCACCACCACTCCCTACAACACACCAACCACACCCTACACACCAAAACCCAACCACCACTCACTACCAACCACCCCCCTCACTACCAACCCACTCACACAACCAACCAACCCTCACTCCCAAACCACCCACCCACCCCACTCCCCAACCACCACCTCACTACCCACACCCACTCAACCAACCACCCCCCCACCCTACCAAACACACTCCACCCCCACACAACCACCCACCCACCACCATACCACCACCCCTCCACCACTCCCACACCAACCACCCACTACACCACCCACAGCACCTCCAAACACCCCCTACCACCCCCCACTACCACCACTCCCCCCCCAAACCACCTACACCACCACACAACCCACTCTCACTTCCACACGCACATCCAGTCACCTCCACCGACACTACCAAACAACCCTCACTACAACACTACACCTCCACCACACCCTCATAACGCCAATACCTACGCACACCCCAACCACCCAGACCAACACTCTCCACTCCAACCACCCTTACTACCACCACCCACGTCACCCCCGCACCTAACCACACTCTCTAGCCCACCCCACTACACCACCCCCCACTACCACCCCCCCTTCAACCAACCCCCACTACCACCTACCCTCACTACCACCACCCCTACCAACCACCCCTCACTGACCACCACCCCAACTACCACACCACCCACCCCACTCCAACCACCCCACCCACCACCCCCTACCACCCACCCCCTCCCCCTCCACTACCAACCCCCCTCACACCACCACCCCACTACCACCCCTCCTCCAACCACCCCTCACTACCAACCACCCCACTACCCAATATATAATTTGGTCACTTAACAGACTCTCTTATTGATATTTCCAGGTGTTCAAAATGCTTCATATTGAAAGGAATTGAAACTCACCTCATCCACTACCTGAACTGACTGTTTCCTCTCGCTACATCAGTCAATATAGCAGCAGAGGTTGACTGATTGACTGACTTACTGTTTCCTCTCATAGCAGCAGAGGTTAACTGACTGACTGTTTCCTCTCATAGCAGCAGAGGTTAACTGACTGACTGTTTCCTCTCATAGCAGCAGAGGTTAACTGACTGACTGTTTCCTCTCATAGCAGCAGAGGTTAACTAACTGACTGACTTACTGTTTCCTCTCATAGCAGCAGAGGTTAACTGACTGACTTGACTGACTGTTTCCTCTCATAGCAGCAGAGGTTAACTGACTGACTGTTTCCTCTCATAGCAGCAGAGGTTAACTGACTGACTTGACTGACTGTTTCCTCTCATAGCAGCAGAGGTTAACTGACTGACTTGACTGACTGTTTCCTCTCATAGCAGCAGAGGTTAACTAACTGACTGACTTACTGTTTCCTCTCATAGCAGCAGAGGTTAACTAACTGACTGACTGACTGTTTCCTCTCATAGCAGCAGAGGTTAACTGACTGACTGACTGACTGTTTCCTCTCATAGCAGCAGAGGTTAACTGACTGACTGTTTCCTCTCATAGCAGCAGAGGTTAACTGACTGACTGTTTCCTCTCATAGCAGCAGAGGTTAACTGACTGACTGTTTCCTCTCATAGCAGCAGAGGTTAACCCATTACAGTCTAATCCCTGTCTAAACCGGGGGAGATGTATACAGAGCATTCGGAAAGTATTCAGACCCTTGACTTTTTCCACATTTTGGTACATTACAGCCTTATTCTAGAATGGATTAAATTATTTTTCCCCCCTCATCAATCTACACACAATACACCCATAATGACAAAGCGAAAAAAAAATAGCATTAAAAAATACCCTTTGCTATGGGACATGAAATTGAGCCCAGGAGCATCCTGTTTCCATCGATCATCCTTGAGATGTTTTTACAACTTGATTGTAGTCCACCTGTGGTAAATTCAATTGATTGGACATGATTTGGAAAGGCAGAAATCTGTCTATATAAGGTCCCACAGTTGACAGTGCATGTCAGAGCAAAAACCAAGCCATGAGGTCGAAGGAATTGTCCGTAGAGCGCAGAGACAGGATTATGTCGAGGCACAGATCTGAGGAAAGGTACCAAAACATTTCTGCAGCAGGTCCCCAAGAACATAGTGGCCATCATTCTTAAATGTAAAAAGTTTGGAACCACCAAGACTCTTACTAGAGCTGGCCGCCCGGCCAAACTGGGCAATTGGGGGAGAAGGGCCTTGGTCAGGGAGGTGACAAGAACCCGATGGTCACTCTGACAGAGCTCCAGAGTTCCTCTGTGGAGATGGGAGAACCTTCCAGAAGGACAACCATCTCTGCAGCACTACACCAATCAGGCCTTTATGGTAGAGTGGCCAAACGGAAGCCACTCCTCAGTAAAAGGCACATGACAGCCCGCTTGGAGTACAAAAGTATTCAGACCCTTTACTCAGTACTTTGTTGAAGCACCTTTGGCAGCAATTACAGCCTAGAGTCTTCTTGGGTATGACGCTACAAGCTTGGCACACCTGTATTGGGGAGTTTCTCCCATTCTCCTCTGCAGATCCTCTCAAGCTTTGTCAGGTTGGATGGGGAGCGTCGCTGCACAGCTATTTTCAGGTCTCTCCAGAGATGTTCGATCGGGTTCAAGTCCGGGCACTTGTCACAAAGCCACACCTGCGTTGTCTTGGCTGTGTGCTAAGGGTCATTGTCCTGTTGGAAGGTGAACCTTCGCCACAGTCTGAGGTCCTGAGCGCTCTGGAGCAGGTTTTCATCAAAGTTAAGGGGTCTGAATACTTTCCGAAGGCACTGTATACTTCCATTCATTTTTGCAACTGACATGTACGTGTTTGTGAGAGTCTCACCTTTCCACAGAGGGGTATGTTACTGTGTAGCCCAAACCGTTTGGACGCTACAGACAGAAGTTGGCAGATCGTCTGTATCGACTTCAGACGAGTCCCAAGTCGCTTGTGGTGGTCGTAGAGCAAAACGGAGACCACCATGGTGTTCGTGAGAGTGTCATCTTTCATAACAAACACCGCTCTAGCTCTGTCACCTTTCACCGCAGATGCGGAAGTGTGACATCAGCTGAAGCGAGGGATTGAGACGCATCCAACGAAAAACAGATACCTCTAGCTTAAACTGACAGATTTTTATGGAGATATTTTTATTATGCTAATTATATTTCAGCGGGGGCGCGGACATCGACTCTAGGGGGTTAAGTAACTAACTGACTGTTTCCTCTCATAGCAGCAGAGGTTTAACTGATTGACTGACTGTCTGTTTCCTGTCTCTACATCAGACAACATAGCAGCAGAGCTGGAGGCTAACCTGGGTCAACTAGAGGAGATAACAGGCAACCTGACCATCAAGAGAGCCTACGCCCTCGTCTCTCTCTCCTTCCTCCGCAAGCTACGCGTCATCCGGGGAGAGACGCTGACCCAAGACGGGTAGGTCTCGGGTAGTAGTGTACTATATAGGGAAAAGGGTACCATATCAGATTTGGGTTTGAAACGTTGTCCGAATTAACATTGTACTTCGGAGCATAGACCAGTGTGCAGATTTATATGAATGTTTTGTTCTACTGCTTTAGGGCTGACTCATTTGTTCATTTTCTCAAACTCTCTCTCTATCAGGAACTACTCGTTCTACGCCTTGGACAACCAGAACCTGCGTCAGCTGTGGGACTGGAACAAACACAACCTGACTATCCTCCAGGGGCGCATGTTCTTCCTTCACAACTCCAAGCTGTGCATGTCTGAGATCCGCAAGATGGAGGAGGTGACGGGCACTAAGGAGAGAGAAATCAAGAATGAAATCGGCAGGACCAATGGAGACCAGGCCTCCTGTAAGACCAGCCAACGTGGAACTTTAGACAAAAATGTCCCAATTCGGTCTTGTGTAGCAAAATTTGAAATTGTGTTTTTTTTTACTTTGGATAAAAGTAGAGACTCAGAGCTAGAAAACTGTATATCATACACTACAGCTTTGAAAGCTGATAAACTTGTTACCTCACTTTTGAGAAAATGGCCCTTGAATGTTTTGGTACCTACTGGAGAGCTCTTCTTTGTCTACCACCCATTCAGCATCGTTCACACCCTCTTAAGCTTTAGCCCCCACCCATCTCTTTAAGGATTCACATGTGAGGCTATGTACTAAACAACCAAAGATATCAAGACTAAAGGCTGGTTTATACTACGGGTGTGTTTGTAAATTTAACCTTGGAGTGCCAGAGTGTGCTCTGGGCGTTCGTAAACTCAGAGCGTTGTCAAATTGTCCGTTCGTAAATTCAGAGTGTTTTGCTCTCAGAGCGTTCAAAGTGCACACTGGACGCTCTTACCGAGGAGTAGGGTTGATCCGAGCGTTCTGACCCTAAAAACAGCAGTCAAGCATCCAAGCTAACGTTGGCTAGCTTGCTAGCTACTTCCAGACACAAATGAGAGAACAGCTCACTCTGACCGTTTTACTCGCCCTAGCAGAGCTGATTTGGCAGTTTTTATATTATCCAGAGCATTGGTGACTGCAACTGTGCTGCTTGCAACAATTTTATTACGCTTTTTTGCCAATGTTTACTGACACCAGCCATATTCAACGGGTGTTGAGTGTTTGTAAATTCGTCAGTTATTCTGCGCTCTGGCACACTGAGACGAGAGTGCTCTGAAATCGGAGTAGAATTTACCAGCTACATCTATCGACAGTTGTTGCAGTGACATCATAAACATTCTATTGAAATAGTTACTTGCATAGTGGAGTCTTTTGTTTAGACATGTAGCTAGCTAAACAATGAACCATATTCCCAACTCGTAACATTACCACCCTGCATGAATCTGCAGGTAGCTAACCAACCAGGTTCAATGTTAGCTAGCTAACATTAGGCTATAACTAGCAATGCAAATGGCTCTGAGATACGAATAATATTACTACACAGATCATACACGTAATGTTAGCAAGCTAGCCAGCCAGCTAACGTTAGCTAGCTAGCTAACAGTACACTTTAACTTGAAATGAAAACGACTTTCTAACAAAATTAGAAATGTGTAATATCTGAAAATGTAGCTAGCTAGACTATCTTACCCGGATACATGGATGGACGCTTCTCCCTCTCTGTCACGGATGCCATGATTGCCCTTAGTTTGAAGATGTAATCCGGAGACTGGTATTTTATACAACAGCCTTCTGTGTGTTCTCTTTTTGACCTCATCTGCATATTTGCAATCAAACGCCAGAAACTCGGTCCTCCAGAAAGTGGAGAGCAATACTTATGCAGTTCTACTACGTGATATCTTTCAAAAAAGTTGCGTTAGAAAGGATTACCTACACATACTGACCAGCTCACGTTATAGACAGAAGCGTGCTACATGGCAGACCAATCCGAACTCATCTCTCGGCATGTACAGCCCACTCATTAGCTCAGCCAATCATGGCTAGCGGGAAGGTTTCTGTCTTTTTCCGTGGCTAAACCAACTAGGCTCGTAATTTAACAATTGTATTAATATTTACAGATGGCATACAAGTTTGTTATTAAGTCACATGAAAGTTCACATGTTCCAGAATTTACTTTAAAATGGCACTCCTGTGAAGTAGTGACGCACGACATATGCCTAGTTTCCTGAAACGAGTGACATATAGTCGTCATGTAGCAGACACTTTTACCCAAAGTGACTTACCGTTAACATTTACTATCAAGTTTTTAATGGTCCTTTATGGCTCAGTTGAGCATGGTGCTTGCAACGCCAGGATTGTGGGTTAGAGTCCCGCTTGGGCCACCCCATACAAAAATGGATGCACGCATGCATGACTGTAAGTTGCTTTGGATAAATGTGGTCAGTAGGTCAGTCGTCCACTCTGTATTTACGGTGTAGCACTGAGCTGTTTTAGTTACCTCTTCTACAACATTGCTATTCTCTCACCTCCCTGATTCTCCCTGATCACTCCTCTCCTTTAGCTCTGTCTGTCTCTGTTTCTTGGTCCCCAGGTGAGACCCAGATCCTGTCCTGTTTCTACCAGGGCACAGTGGACACTGTCCCATAGCAGTGGAGATCCCTGTCTGGCCATCAGACTTAGGACCTGCTGGGCGTACATGTCCTCTACCAGAGGCGTAGATGTAGGAAACATTCTGATGAGAAATTAGTAACCTTGTCCCATAGGGCAGGAGCCGATCTCCTGTTTCTGTAGCCAGAGGCAGCTTAGTGACCTTGTCCCATAGGGCAGGAGCCGATCTCCTGTTTCTGTAGCCAGAGGCAGCTTTAGTGACCTTGTCCCACAACAAGTCAGTTCGTCAAATTTCTACCCTGCTAGAGCTGCCCTGGTCAACTGTAAGTGTTGTTATTGTGAAGTGGAAACATCTAGGGTCAACAACGGCTTAACCGCGAAGGGGTAGGTTATACAAGCTCACAGAACGGGACCGCCGAGTGCTGAAGCGCGTAGCGCGTAAAAATCATCTGTCCTCGGTTGCAACACTCACTACCGAGTTCCAAACTGCCTCTGGAAGCAACGTCAGCACAATAATTGTTAGACCGGAGCTTCATGAAATGGGTTTCCAAGCCAAGCCAAGCGTCGGCTGGAGTGAAGTAAAGCTCACCGCCATTGGATTCTGGAGCAGTGGAAACGCGTTCTCTGGAGTGATGAATCACGCTTCACCATCTTGCAGTCCAACGGACAAATCTGGGTTTGCCGGATGCCAGAAAAATGCTACCTGCTTGAATGCATAGTGCCAACTGTAAAGTTTGGCGGGAAGGAATAATGGTCTGGGGCTGTTTTTCATGGTTTGGGCTAGGCCCCTTAGTTCCAGTGAAGGAAAATCTTAATGCTACAGCATACAATGACATTGTAGACGATTCTGTGCTTTCGTCTTTGTGGCAACAGTTTGGGGAAGGCCTTTTCCTGTTTCAGCATGCACAAAGCGAGGACCATACAGAAATGGTTTGTCGAGATCGGTGTGAAAGAACTTGACTGGCATGCACAGAGCCCTGACCTCAACCCCATCGAACACCTTTGGGATGAATTGGAACGCCGACTGCGAGCCAGGCCTAATCGCCCAACATCAGTGCCCGACCTCACTAATGCTCTTGTGGCTGAATGGAAGCAAATCCCCGCAGCAATGTTCCAACATCTAGTGGAAAGCCTTCCCAGAAGAGTGGAGGATGTTAAAGCAGCAAAGGGGGCACCAACTCATGAAACATGGGACCAACACATTACATGTTGTTTATATTTTTGTCCAGTGTAAGTACAAATAATTTGCAAATTGACCGCAAGAAGCTCAAACAGATATGTTTGACTAAAACATAGTCAGTTTAAACCTTGCTTACATTTGTATACGATCACGTCTCTCTATTATGTGTGAGAATATTTGAGAACATATTTCTTAAATTAAAATCACTTGGAGCTGATTTCCTGGTGTTTCACCGTCTTTTAGGTCCAACAAAGAAAATAAAACTTTTTTTTTTTTGTTGCTCAGAAAGCTTGGGGGGCCAAAAGCTTGGGGGGCCAAAAGCTTGGGGGGCCAAACCCTGCTGTAAGGTGTTCGAAAGTGTTGAATAGAAAAGGTGTGTAGTTAAATAGGAGGAGCCTTGACTAGAATACAGTGTGAAGTGGGTGAAACAGTATGTAAACATTATTAAAGTGACCAGTGTTCAATGACTGTGTACGTAGGGCAGCAGTCTCTAAGGTGCAGATTAATAGTAGCGGCTGGTAGCCGGCTAGTAACAGAAACAGTCACGTCTCTAGTATTAGTATGTTAGTGTCTCTCTCTCCTCTCCATCCCCAGGCCTTATAAGAACGTGACAGAGTTTGATGGCCAGGACGCGTGCGGCTCAAACAGCTGGGTGATAGCTGACGTAGACCCTCCACCACGGGCCACGGAGGGGAAGGAGCAGGTGGAGCCTGGCTTCCTCATCCATCCTATGAAGCCCTGGACCCAGTACGCCATCATGGTCAAGACCCAGCTCTCCGCCTCAGACGAACAACAGGCCCACGGGGCCAAGAGCAAGATCATCTACGTCCGCACCAACGCCACCAGTGAGTCTCAAACATAGTCCTCCGTCCTTACAACATTCTACTACTGAGTCTCGAACATAGTCCTCCGTCCTTACAACATTCTACTACTGAGTCTCAAACATAGTCCTCCGTCCTTACAACATTCTACTACTGAGTCACAAACATAGTCCTCCGTCCTTACAACATTCTACTACTGAGTCTCAAACATAGTCCTCCGTCCTTACAACATTCTACTACTGAGTCTCAAACATAGTCCTCCGTCCTTACAACATTCTACTAGGGAGTCACGAACATAGTCCTCCGTCCTTACAACATTCTACTAGGGAGTCACGAACATAGTCCTCCGTCCTTACAACATTCTACTAGGGAGTCACGAATATAGTCCTCCGTCCTTACAACATTCTACTAGGGAGTCACGAACATAGTCCTCCGTCCTTACAACATTCTACTAGGGAGTCACGAACATAGTCCTCCGTCCTTACAACATTCTACTAGGGAGTCACGAACATAGTCCTCCGTCCTTACAACATTCTACTAGGGAGTCACGAACATAGTCCTCCGTCCTTACAACATTCTACTAGGGAGTCACGAACATAGTCCTCCGTCCTTACAACATTCTACTAGGGAGTCACGAACATAGTCCTCCGTCCTTACAACATTCTACTACTGAGTCACGAACATAGTCCTCCGTCCTTACAACATTCTACTAGGGAGTCACAAACATAGTCCTCCGTCCTTACAACATTCTACTACTGAGTCACGAACATAGTCCTCCGTCCTTACAACATTCTACTACTGAGTCTCAAACATAGTCCTCCGTCCTTACAACATTCTACTACTGAGTCACGAACATAGTCCTCCGTCCTTACAACATTCTACTACTGAGTCACGAACATAGTCCTCCGTCCTTACAACATTCTACTAGGGAGTCACGAACATAGTCCTCCGTCCTTAGAACATTCTACTACTGAGTCTCAAACATAGTCCTCCGTCCTTACAACATTCTACTAGGGAGTCACAAACATAGTCCTCCGTCCTTACAACATTCTACTAGGGAGTCACAAACATAGTCCTCCGTCCTTACAACATTCTACTAGGGAGTCACGAACATAGTCCTCCGTCCTTACAACATTCTACTAGGGAGTCACGAACATAGTCCTCCGTCCTTACAACATTCTACTAGGGAGTCACGAACATAGTCCTCCGTCCTTACAACATTCTACTACTGAGTCACGAACATAGTAATAATAAATGCATAGCCACTGGTGATGCCATAGAGTTTTCCAGCCCATATCACCTTGAATAGCAGCATTTGACATGTATTTACCCACACCAAGGTCAAATCTGCAGCACGGTTAAAAACGGCATTAACACCAGTATAATTTGTATCCCCATACTGCTCCAGCATAAATAATACTAGGTAGCACCAATGAATCAAACAGTTAAGCGAAACATTTAAAAGGTAGGCCACCCATGACTTTACTCTTTACAATGATGGCACTAAGGGCACGATTTACATGGTTAGCTCTATGGTTAGCAGACACAGCGTAATCCTAGATAAGACTATAGAAACTGGCTGTTATCCACCAATAGGTCCCCCTCCAGCCCCTAGTCTGACCACAAACCCTGCTCTAACTCCTAACGATGTTGTTGTTGTTGTTTCAGAGCCGTCAGTGCCGCTGGACCCCATCTCCTCGTCCAACTCGTCCTCTCAGATCATCCTGAAGTGGAAGCCCCCCACGGACCCCAACGGGAACATCACTCACTACCTGGTATATTGTCAGCAGCAGCCGGAGGACAGCGACCTCTACAAGTTTGACTACTGTCAGAAAGGTGAGACAACAGAGGATTGTCATTATTCACATGATTATTTCATATTACAGTTAAGAAAAGATCAATCAATCATGTCAGATGATCTGATGGTCTTGTCTGAGGATCTGTTGACCATTGAGAAAGGGGTTTTTAGGGTCATCCCCTATTTTGGTGCAGATGTGACCGTTGGGACCATTGGGATTCAGTTGGGATGTGACAGTTGGGACCATTGGGATTCAGTTGGGATGTGACAGTTGGGACCATTGGGATTAAGTTGGGATGTGACAGTTGGGACCATTCTGATTCAGTTGGGATGTGACAGTTGGGACCATTGGGATTCAGTTGGGATGTGACAGTTGGGATTCTAACTGTCTGTCTGTAGGAATGAAGCTGCCGTCGCGGGCACCCACCCACCTGGACACTGAAGAGGAGCATAAATGGAACCAAACAGACGAGCCTGGGCCAGGGCCAGGGAGCCGCTGCTGCTCCTGCCCCAAAACAGAGACCCAGCTCAAAAAGGAGGCTGATGAGTCTGAGTACCGCAAGACCTTCGAGAACTACATCCACAACGAAGTGTTTGAACCCAGGTATGATTATAGCAGAGCTACCTCCATAATGAAGTGCTTGGAAACCAGGTATGATTATAGCAGAGTTACACTACATGATCAAAAGTATGTGGACACCTGCTCGTAAAACATCTCATTCCAAAATCATGGGCATTAATATGGAGTTGGTCTCCCCCTTTGCTGCTATAACAGCCTCCATTCTTCTGGGAAGGCTTTCCAATACATGTTGCTGCGGGGGCTTGCTTCCATTCAGCCACAAGAACATTAGTGAGGTCGGGCAATGATGCTGGGAAAATAGGCCTGGCTCACAGTCAGCGTTCCAATTCATCCCCTGTGCAGGCCTGTCAAGTTCTTCCACATCGATCTCGACAAACCATTTCTGTATGAACCTTACTTTGTGCATGGGGACATTGTCATGCTGAAACAGGAAAGGGCCTTACCCAAACTGTTGTCACAAAGTTGGAAGCACAGAATCGTCTAGATTGTAATTGTATGCTGTAGCGTTAAGATTTCCCTTCATTGGGACTAAGGGGCCTAGCCCAAACCATGAAAAACAGCCCCAGACCATTATTCCTCCTCCACCAAACTTTACAGTTGGCAGTATGCATTGGGGCAGGTAGCATTCTCCTGGCGTCCGCCAAATCCAGATTCTTCCTTCGGACTGCCAGATGGTGAAGTGTGATTCATCACTCCAGAGAACGCGTTTCCACTGCTCCAGAGTCCAATGGCGGCAAGCTTTACACCAATCCAGCCGACGCTTGGCATTGCGCATGGTGATCTTAGGCTTGTGTGCGGCTGCTCAACCAAGGAAACCCATTTCATGAAGCTCCCGACGAACAGTTATTGTGCTGACGTTGCTTCCAGAGGAAGTTTGGAACTCTGTAGTGAGTATTGCAACCGAGGACAGATGATTTTTATGTCCTACACGCTTTGATCTTGTGTGGCCTACCACTTCGCAGCTGAGCCATTGTTGCTCCTAGATGTTTTCACTTCAAAAGAAAAGCACTTACAGTTGACCAGGGCAGCTATAGCAGGGCAGAAATTTTACAAACTGACTTGTTGGAAAGGTGGCATCCTATGACGGTGCCACATTGAAAGTCACTGAGCTCTTCAATAAGGCCATTCTACTGCCAATGTTTGTCTATGGAGATTGCATGGCTGTGTGCTCCATTTTATACACCTGTCAGCAACGGGTGTGGCTGAAATAGCCGAATCCACTAATTTGAAGGGGTGTCCACATACTTTCGTATATAGAGTGTACCTCCATTCCAAAGTGTTTGAACCCAGGTGTGATTATAGCAGAGTTACATCCACAAAGTGTTTGAGATCATATGAGAACAGTAGTACCGTCACAGTCAGGTGTTGAGATCAGGTATGAGAACAGTAGTACCGTCACAGTCAGGTGTTGAGATCAGGTATGAGAACAGTAGTACCGTCACAGTCAGGTGTTGAGATCAGGTATGAGAACAGTAGTACCGTCACAGTCAGGTGTTGAGATCAGGTATGAGAACAGTAGTACCGTCACAGTTAGGTGTTGAGATCAGGTATGAGAACAGTAGTACCGTCACAGTTAGGTGTTGAGATCAGGTATGAGAACAGTAGTACCGTCACAGTTAGGTGTTGAGATCAGGTATGAGAACAGTAGTACCGTCACAGTCAGGTGTTGAGATCAGGTATGAGAACAGTAGTACCGTCACAGTTAGGTGTTGAGATCAGGTATGAGAACAGTAGTACCGTCACAGTTAGGTGTTGAGATCAGGTATGAGAACAGTAGTACCGTCACAGTTAGGTGTTGAGATCAGGTATGAGAACAGTAGTACCGTCACAGTCAGGTGTTGAGATCAGGTATGAGAACAGTTGTACCGTCACAGTTTGGTGTTGAGATCAGGTATGAGAACAGTAGTACCGTCACAGTTAGGTGTTGAGATCAGGTATGAGAACAGTAGTACCGTCACAGTTAGGTGTTGAGATCAGGTATGAGAACAGTAGTACCGTCACAGTTAGGTGTTGAGATCAGGTATGAAAACAGTAGTACCGTCACAGTCAGGTGTTGAGATCAGGTATGAGAACAGTAGTACCGTCACAGTTAGGTGTTGAGATCAGGTATGAGAACAGTAGTACCGTAACAGTCAGGTGTTGAGATCAGGTATGAGAACAGTAGTACCGTCACAGTCATGTGTTGAGATAAGGTATGAGAACAGTAGTACCGTCACAGTCAGGTGTTGAGATCAGGTATGAGAACAGTAGTACCGTCACAGTCAGGTGTTGAGATCAGGTATGAGAACAGTAGTACCGTCACAGTTAGGTGTTGAGATCAGGTATGAGAACAGTAGTACCGTCACAGTCAGGTGTTGAGATCAGGTATGAGAACAGTTGTACCGTCACAGTCATGTGTTGAGATCTGGTATGAGAACAGTAGTACCGTCACAGTCATGTGTTGAGATCAGGTATGAGAACAGTAGTACCGTCACAGTTAGGTGTTGAGATCAGGTATGAGAACAGTAGTACCGTCACAGTTAGGTGTTGAGATCAGGTATGAGAACAGTAGTACCGTCACAGTTAGGTGTTGAGATCAGGTATGAGAACAGTAGTACCGTCACAGTCAGGTGTTGAGATCAGGTATGAGAACAGTAGTACCGTCACAGTTAGGTGTTGAGATCAGGTATGAGAACAGTTGTACCGTCACAGTTTGGTGTTGGACTAAAGACATAACAATTAGCTATACCTCAGAAATGACCTCAAAGCTCAGGGAACCCTGAGAGAAACTGAGGGCTACCAGCTACGGCACGCTGTAAATCCGTCATTGTATATAAGAATTTGTTCTTGACTGACTAGCCTAGTTAAATAAAGGTTACGTTTTTTATTTATTTTTTAAACAAGTTTATTCTGTTAATATGAGGGAAGTGTATCAGACAGTCTGATGACAGGTAGACCCTGAACACAGCTGATCTCTCATTCCTCCAGAACAACACCTGCTGTAAGCAACTCCTCTGATAATAGGTAAGTCAATGGCGTTCAAGCGCTGGTGTTAATACCCAGCCCCCCTCACCTTGTCAGCCAATCAGAGCACAACAACCAGCAGCTCTGTGTCAGTGGTGGTATAACGTAATTTGATGCACTAATTTGTGGGTGGGTGGCTATACTAGCTCGCTCCCCCACCTCCCCTCTGTGCTTCCAATCCTGTGTTTGTCTTCATTCACACCTAGCAGTGTTCTCGCCTTGCTGGAAAGCTCTGGGAAAAATGTCTCTCACTCTGTGTGACAAATGAAATGCCTGCTCAACCCAAGCGTGACGATGGAGCGTCAGGGCTGTGGGTGGAGCTGGGAAGAAGATGGAGGTTTAATTAGTGAAAGCCTCTACGAGTTCCGTTCCCCTTTGATTGTGATTCCAGGAATATGTTAGAAGCGATTCACTGTGTAGCGTTCTGTTGTGTCAGCACCAGAGCCTCTTTGGCAGGTGGACTAGCAAGCAGAGCTGGCTCTCAGACGCACCGTTGAATGGCATGACATGCCCCTGGGCTGACACACACACACACACACTGCGACACACACACACACACACACACACACCCCTCCCCGTTTAACCACAGGAAGGCATGTGTATAATAGAAACTGAGAGGAGGGAAATCACTATCTGCGTTGGTCTCTTCTGTGTTGCCGCGGTTTCAAGCGATGCGGTCCGGCCCTTCTGCTTTAACTCTCCAGTCATAAGAGGTGTTATCATCCTGCAGTCAGTCAGTGTGTTTCTGCTTCAGCCCAGCTGTAGTCTGGTAGCTAGCTGATGGGGTGGGGGAGATTACAGAGTCTGGGCCCTAACTGTGAGTGGTCTGTATCTGTTATTCACACAGTCACAGGAACACTGGGCTCCCTCCCTCCCTCCCTCCCTCTCTCCCTCAGGCAGGGGCCCTGCTCTGCTCTGCCCTGCTCTCACTTTGATTGTCCCTGGATGATGATGCGTGTGTGTTCTAGCGTGCCATCAAGCTAGCCCCAACCCTGTGTGACGTGTCTGACCCTGTTTACGCTCTGTTCCGGAACACTCCCCCCATCCCCCCTCCCTTTTCTGTGGGAGGGATTACTGTGCCCATTACCATCCATGGGATTTATTACTGTTGCTATTACCATCGGTGGGAGTGATTACTGTTCCCATTTCCATCGGTGGGAGTGATTACTGTTCCCATTTCCATCGGTGGGAGTGATTACTGTTCCCATTTCCATCGGTGGGAGTGATTACTGTTCCCATTTCCATCGGTGGGAGTGATTACTGTTCCCATTTCCATCGGTGGGAGTGATTACTGTTCCCATTTCCATCGGTGGGAGTGATTACTGTTCCCATTTCCATCGGTGGGAGTGATTACTGTTCCCATTTCCATCGGTGGGAGGGATTACTGTTCCCATTTCCATCGGTGGGAGTGATTACTGTTCCCATTGCCATCGGTGGGAGTGATTACTGTTCCCATTGCCATCCGTGGGAGTGATTACTGTGCCCATTGCCATCCGTGGGAGTGATTACTGTTCCCATTGCCATCCGTGGGAGTGATTACTGTTCCCATTTCCATCCGTGGGAGTGATTACTGTGCCCATTGCCATCGGTGGGAGTGATTACTGTGCCCATTGCCATCCGTGGGAGTGATTACTGTGCCCATTGCCATCGGTGGGAGTGATTACTGTGCCCATTGCCATCCGTGGGAGTGATTACTGTGCCCATTGCCATCCGTGGGAGTGATTACTGTTCCCATTTCCATCCGTGGGAGTGATTACTGTTCCCATTTCCATCCGTGGGAGTGATTACTGTGCCCATTGCCATCGGTGGGAGTGATTACTGTTCCCATTTCCATCCGTGGGAGTGATTACTGTGCCCATTTCCATCGGTGGGAGTGATTACTGTTCCCATTTCCATCCGTGGGAGTGATTACTGTTCCCATTTCCATTCGTGGGAGTGATTACTGTGCCCATTTCCATCCGTGGGAGTGATTACTGTTCCCATTTCCATCCGTGGGAGTGATTACTGTTCCCATTTCCATCCGTGGGAGTGATTACTGTTCCCATTTCCATCCGTGGGAGTGATTACTGTTCCCATTTCCATCTGTGGGAGTGATTACTGTGCCCCATTTCCATCCGTGGGAGTGATTACTGTTCCCATTTCCCATCGGTTGGGAATGATTAACTTGTGCCCATTGCCATCCGTGGGAGTGATTACTGTGCCCATTGCCATCCGTTGGGAGTGATTAACTGTGCCCATTACCATCCGGTTGGGAGTGATTACTGTTCCATTACCATCGTTGGGAAGTTGATTACTGTGCCCATTGCCATCCGTGGGAAGGTGATGACTGTGCCCCATTGCCATCCTGGGAGTGATTACTTGTGCCATGCCCGGTGGGAGTGATTACCTGTGCCCATTGCCATCGGTGGGAGGGATTACTGTGCCCATTGGCCATTCGGTGGGAGGGATGAACTGTGCCCATTGCCATCGGTGGGGAGGGATTACTGTGGCCCATTGCCCAGCCGTGGGAGGGATTAGGCGTGGCCCATTGCCCATCCGTGGGAGGGATTACTGTGCCCATTGCCATCCGTGGGAGGGATTACTGTGCCCATTGCCATCCGTGGGAGGGATTACTGTGCCCATTGCCATCCGTGGGAGGGATTACTGTGCCCATTGCCATCCGTGGGAGTCAGAGGGCATTCATGCAGACTGGCACCCTGCGCCCCACCATTTAGACTGCTACACACACACACACACACACACACACACACACACACACACACACACACACACACACACACACACACACAGTTCAGACCTCCACACACATAAACAAACACGATATAGATCTTGACGCACACACACACACATCGTTGCGACCTCAGCTGGGGTTTAATCCTGTGTCTGAGTGGAAGACATGGTAATTCTGGTATAGGAAGAGAACAAGGAGTTCAGACATACAACAGTACCAGACTAGTTAGCTCCTAATCCCCCCTCCCCCTAACCCTTACAGGTGCTGCTATGTCCGGCAGTAGAGTGAATAATATAATATAGATATGACGCTTTTATCCAAAGTGACTCAGTCATGCATGCATCCATTTTGTGAATGGGTGGTCCCGGGAATCAAACCCACTGTCCCAGTGTTGCAAGCACCTTGCTCTACCAACTGAGCTACAGAGGACCACGTGAATGAATGGACTGTCTGTAACCCACCGTGACCTAGTACAGACCTGGTTCAGACCTGGCTAGTTCTGTTTTGCTGCCATTTTGGGTGACTCCAGTCTGTTGTTCTACTGACTGTCTGTATTTATTTGGAAGTGTAGTGTAGTGACTCATGGGTGAGTGTGTTCAGTGGTGCTCTCTGTCTCTCTGTAAGTGGTGCTGTCTGTCTGTCTGGTGCTGTCTGTTTTTGGTGCTGTCTGTCTGTTTGTGGTGCTGTCTGTCTGTTTGTGGTGCTGTCTGTCTGTCTGTATGTCTGTTTCTGGTGCTGTCTGTCTGTCTGTCTGTCTGTTGTGGGTGCTTGTCTTTCTGTTTGTGGTGCTGCGTACTGTCTGGTGCTGTCTGTCTGTCTGGTGCTGTCTGTTCTGTCTGGTGCTGTCTGTCTGTCTGTCTGTCTGTCTGTCTGATGCTGTCTGTCTGTCTGTCTGTCTGTCTGTCTGGTGCTGTCTGTCTGTCTGGTGCTGTCTGTCTGTCTGTCTGGTACTGTCTGTCTGTCTGTCTGGTGCTGTCTGTCTGTTTGTGGTGCTGTCTGTCCTGTTTGTGGTGCTGTCTGTCTGTTTGTGGTGCTGTCTGTCTGTCTGTCTGTCTGGTGCTGTCTGTCTGTCTGTCTGGTGGCTGTCTGTCTGTCTGGTGCTGTCTGTCTGTCTGTCTGGTGCTGTGTGTCTGTTTGTGGTGCTGTCTGTTTTTGGTGCTGTGTGTCTGTTTGTGGTGCTGTCTGTCTGTTTGTGGTGCTGTCTGTCTGTCTGTCTGGTGCTGTCTGTCTGGTGGTGTCAGTCTGTCTGGTGCTGTCTGTCTGTCTGTGGTACTGTCTGTCTGTTTGTGGTGCTGTCTGTCTGTCTGTGGTGCTGTCTGTCTGTCTGTCTGTCTGTCTGTCTGTCTGTGGTGCTGTCTGTCTGTCTGTGGTGCTGTCTGTGGGCCCAGCCAGGCAGCCAGCATTCTGAAGACTCACTGTGACAGATAAAGCCACTCCATGCTGACGTCACCCTACCTGCTGAGTTGGACCTTCCCTCTACTCTCTTTAGTTGCAGGGTCATACTTGTTTGTTTATCTGGATCCCCATTAGCTTTTGCAGAAGCAGCAGCTACTCTTCCTGGAGTCCACAAAAAAACACAAAACATGACAAGTAACAAAACACTGATGGACAAGAACAGTCACACACATTAAAATACAACAATATACAAAACAATACAACTAAACTGTAGCTGCTCATCTCTATCTGCCTCTCCTTGTTCTGTTCTCAACACTGCTCAATCTGTAGTCAATTCAAACTTAAACAAACCTAGTGACTGGCTGGCTGCTAGGCTAGCTGAAGGCTCCTGGGCTCCATCTGGTGGTGATGAGTGTAACTGCAGCCGCCCACCCGGCTGACTGTATAGGAGTCAGTAGATTGTTGTTGTTGTAAAGGTCAGGGAGCATTGTGACCAGAGGGCAGGACTACTTACCATGGACTCTAACTCACAACGTCACTCTCTCTCTTCACCTAACCTTGCATGGAGAATAGTAGGTCAATGAATGTAATTGGTCAAACACCTGTGATTTAGGTGCAGTGTTGGGTTGTTAAAATGGGTTTCTGGGTTGGAGTAACTAACATTGACCTTCAGCAGAGCTCTGTACGGTAGGTATGTAGGTCCCATAGGACAACCATGGTCGTTGGTTATTGTGAAAGTTCACAATGACTTCCTTCCGCTGAGAAGTCTTTCGTCTTAGCTCTTTATTACTGTAACACGCCTCATCTCACCTGGCTTCTCCTTCTTTCTTCTTCAGACCGTCTCGTCGGCGTCGCTCAGTGGGTGTGGCCAACGCCACCCTGCCCCGCTTCCTGACCACTCCCCCCACCCTGCCCAACGCGTCGACCACGCCCAGCCCAGAGGGCGAGGGGGCGGAGGGCTCCAAGGTGACGCTGGTGGTGTTCGCCAAGGAGTCGACGGTCATCTCCAACCTGCGCCACTTCACCAGCTATCAGATAGAGATCCATGCCTGCAACCACCCCACTGACCCCCAGCGCTGCAGCATGGCCACTTTCGTCAGCGCGCGCACCCTGCCCGAGGGTAAGGCTGTACACAGAGCCAGACTACAGTATGTTTATACACTACACAGTACAGACTTCCTTCTTCTTCTTTCACGTATGCCTGTGTTCTCCTCCTCTCCCTGCAGAGAAAGCTGATGACATTGTGGGCCAGGTGAGCCATGAGATGGTGTTGGAGCACCCAGACTCTGTCCACATCAAGTGGCTGGAGCCCAAAGCCCCCAACGGCATGATCATCCTGTACGAGATCAACTACAGGAGGATAGGAGACCCAGAGGTCAGTACCAATACTAGAATCAACTACAGGAGGATAGGAGACCCTGAGGTCAGTACCAATACTAGAATCAACTACAGGAGGATAGGTACCCTGAGGTCAGTACCAATACTAGAATCAACTACAGGAGGATAGGAGACCCTGAGGTCAGTACCAAAACTAGAATAAACTACAGGAGGATGGATAGGAGACCCTGAGGTCAGTACCAATACTAGAATCAACTACAGGAGGATAGGTACCCTGAGGTCAGTACCAATGCTAGAATCAACTACAGGAGGATGGATAGGAGACCCTGAGGTCAGTACCAATACTAGAATCAACTACAGGAGGATGGATAGGAGACCCTGAGGTCAGTACCAATACTAGAATCAACTACAGGAGGATAGGAGACCCTGAGGTCAGTACCAATACTAGAATCAACTACAGGAGGATGGATAGGAGACCCTGAGGTCAGTACCAATACTAGAATCAACTACAGGAGGATAGGTACCCTGAGGTCAGTACCAATGCTAGAATCAACTACAGGAGGATGGATAGGAGACCTTGAGGTCAGTACCAATACTAGAATCAACTACAGGAGGATAGGAGACCCTGAGGTCAGTACCAATACTAGAATCAACTACAGGAGGATGGATAGGAGACCCTGAGGTCAGTACCAATACTAGAATCAACTACAGGAGGATAGGAGACCCTGAGGTCAGTACCAATACTAGAATCAACTACAGGAGGATAGGAGACCCTGAGGTCAGTACCAATACTAGAATCAACTACAGGAGGATAGGTACCCTGAGGTCAGTACCAATACTAGAATCAACTACAGGAGGATGGATAGGAGACCTTGAGGTCAGTACCAATACTAGAATCAACTACAGGAGGATAGGAGACCCTGAGGTCAGTACCAATACTAGAATCAACTAATAATAATATAATAATAAACTACAGGAGGATGGATAGGAGACCTTGAGGTCAGTACCAATACTAGAATCAACTACAGGAGGATAGGAGACCCTGAGGTCAGTACCAATACTAGAATCAACTACAGGAGGATAGGTACCCTGAGGTCAGTACCAATACTAGAATCAACTACAGGAGGATAGGAGACCCTGAGGTCAGTACCAATACTAGAATCAACTACAGGAGGATAGGAGACCCTGAGGTCAGTACCAATACTAGAATCAACTACAGGAGGATAGGTACCCTGAGGTCAGTACCAATACTAGAATCAACTACAGGAGGATAGGAGACCCTGAGGTCAGTACCAATACTAGAATCAACTACAGGAGGATAGGAGACCCTGAGGTCAGTACCAATACTAGAATCAACTACAGGAGGATAGGAGACCCTGAGGTCAGTACCAATACTAGAATCAACTACAGGAGGATAGGAGACCCTGAGGTCAGTACCAATACTAGAATCAACTACAGGAGGATAGGTACCCTGAGGTCAGTACCAATACTAGAATCAACTACAGGAGGATAGGAGACCCTGAGGTCAGTACCAATACTAGAATCAACTACAGGAGGATAGGAGACCCTGAGGTCAGTACCAATACTAGAATCAACTACAGGAGGATAGGAGACCCTGAGGTCAGTACCAATACTAGAATCAACTACAGGAGGATAGGAGACCCTGAGGTCAGTACCAATACTAGAATCAACTACAGGAGGATAGGAGACCCTGAGGTCAGTACCAATACTAGAATCAACTACAGGAGGATAGGTACCCTGAGGTCAGTACCAATACTAGAATCAACTACAGGAGGATAGGTACCCTGAGGTCAGTACCAATACTAGAATCAAATAACTAACTGTGTTTCTGTCAATCCATTTCCCCTTTGCTCTTTTTTGTTTTGGATGTTTGTTGACTTGAGTTTACAGAACAGTCATTTGTAGGTGTTTGAATAGAAAAGGGAAATGACGAGGGTTATTTGGGGGACTATTTTGGGCCAGGGTTAGTTTGTTAGGTGCATACCTGGTAGCTACAGTCTGAATGGGATCGTTTTTTCAACCATATTGTGCCTTATTCTGAAAAACAACCACAGCCATTATTAAAGAAAATCAATGATCTGTCTATAGTTCTGATTGTCACCCCCTGTACATTGGTGTGTGTGTGTGTTTGTTTTTGTTTTTGTTGCTGTGGTGAATGTGTGGATTCATTGGTATTCACTACTGCACCGTCTGACCCAGGGAGCCTGTAGTAGATATGTTACCAAGGAGATAGAAACAGGAACTGCATCCCCTCGTGTAAACAAATAGATATCTCAGTAACCAAGGAATGAAGAGCTTTGATTCCTCTGCAATAACAATGCGTTGCACTTTTTACTGACATAACTCCTGAGTGGCGCAGTGGTCTAAGGCACTGCATCGCAGTGCTAACTGTGCCACTAGAGATCCTGGTTCGAATCCAGGCTCTGTCGCAGCCGGCCGCGACCGGGAGACTCATGGGCGGCGCACAATTGGCCCAGCGTTGTCCAGGGTAGGGGAGGGAATGGCCGGCAGGGATGTAGCTCAGTTGATAGAGCATGGCGTTTGCAACGCCAGGGTTGTGGGTTCGATTCCCACGGGGGGCCAGTATAAAAAATAATAATAATATGTATTCACTAACTGTAAGTCCCTCTGGATAAGAGCGTCTGCTAAATGACTAAAATGTAAAATGTAAAAATGTCAGTGCCTTAAAGAACGCTGGACAAATATTTCAGTGTGAAAGATAATCAGATATGCTTTTTAGTATGTAGATAATATTTTTATTTGACCTTTATTTAACTAGGCACGTCAGTTAAGAACAAATTCTTATTTACAATGATGGCCTACCCCGGCCAAACCCGGACGACGCTGGGCCAATTGTGCGCCGCCCTATGAGACTCCCGATCACGGCCGGTTCTGATACAGCCTGGTATCGAACCAGGGGGTCTGTAGTGACGCCTCAAGCACTGAGATGCAGTGCCTTAGACCGCTGCGCCACTCGGGAGCCCAATATATTGACAAGATTGCGTGCTAGTATGCTAGGTTGAAATGACATGATTGAGTGCTAGTATGCTAGGTTGAAATGACATGATTGAGTGCTAGTATGCTAGGTTGAAATGACATGATTGAGTGCTAGTATGCTAGGTTGAAATGACATGATTGAGTGCTAGTATGCTAGGTTGAAAGCTGTTTGATTAGCAGACCAGACCAGGGAAGCCTCATGTCTGTATTATAAATCCTGGTGCTCACAGTCACACCCTTTATACAACACTGTGATTTAGTGGGATAACCACGCTATAACCACGCTATAACCACGCTATAACCACGCTATAACCACGCTATAACCATGCTATAACCACGCTATAACCACGCTATAACCACGCTATAACCACGCTATAACCACGCTATAACCATGCTATAACCACGCTATAACCACGCTATAACCACTCTATAACCATGCTATAACCACTCTATAACCGTGTAATAATGTGTGCTCCAGGAGCTGCATCACTGCGTGTCCAGGAAGACCTACGCCCAGATCGGAGGCTGCAGGCTGCGAGTGGTGCATCCTGGGAACTACACTGTGAAGATCCGTGCCACCTCGCTGGCAGGAAATGGCTCCTGGACTAAACCCACCTTCTTCTTCATGCCCGACAGTAAGTGCTGCCTGCCTGGGCCAATGGGCACTGGCCCTGCTTACTCTGTCTGGAATTATAGATATTGTTTTACGATATATTTATTGCTATTTTTTATTTATTTCACAAGCATCAGAAAACATGACAATAAGAACATCACTCCCCCCACACATACACCACACATACACCACACATACACCACACATACACCACACATACACCACACATACACCACACATACACCACACATACACCACACATACACACAACAACAGGCTAGAGGGGAGCACAGCATACTCTGGACACATTTGAACAGTTCATGTTGCCATGACAGTGACTGACAAATGGCTGCTTTGTTCATTGCAGAGGACAACAGTTCACTGAGCATCATCATTGGTCCAATCATCTGCTTCATCCTGCTGCTCTTCGTGGGGGGCGGAGTCTTCATGGTCTATAAGAAGAAGTAAGACTTGATTGATTGATTATCGATTTTTGGTATAATATTTATTTATTTTACCAGGCAGGTAAACAAATGATTATTTACAATGATGCCCTGGCAAGACAAATATACGAATGTGCAAGGAGACCTTTGACTAATGTTTGACTGTGTGTACCAGGCAAACTGAGGGACCCACTGGACCTCTGATCGCCTCGTCCAACCCGGAGTACCTGAGCGCTAGCGACGGTAAGGACAAACCACAAACCACGCTTCAAACTGTTCCAGCAAGTTTGTTTTCCTGTGAGGTGGTGTACGTGTTTTAAAAAAAAACAGTGTAGTAAAGAAGTAGTGCACTAAAATGAGAACTTTGTTCCCTTGTTGTTGTGTAGTGTACGTACCGGATGACTGGGAGGTGGCGAGGGAGAAGATCAACATCCTGAAGGAGCTGGGTCAGGGTTCGTTTGGCATGGTCTACGAGGGCATCGCCAAGGACATCGTGAAGGGCGAGCCGGACACGCGCGTGGCGGTAAAGACGGTCAACGAGTCGGCCAGTCTGAGGGAGAGGATAGAGTTCCTCAACGAAGCCTCCGTCATGAAGGCCTTCAGCTGTCACCACGTGGTAAGGAGCCTATTCATTCACTTTCATGATGAACTGTTATGTAGTGTATTACCTTCAGAATATGAACGTTGCACGACGCTCCCCACCTCCACTTCACGTCAACTAAACAATAACAATGGCGATGGGTCGGACGGTGGCGCTGTTTTACCTACTGTGGATTCTATCTTTAAATTGAGTAGATTTTCTCAAGTTATTATGTAGAGAAATGTATATATCTCAATGTTCCTAACTCTCCCTGTTCTCTCTGTCTGTAGGTGTCTGTAGTGTAATGACTAACTCCCTGTTCTCTCTGTCTGTAGGTGTCTGTAGTGTAATGACTAACTCCCTGTTCTCTCTGTCTGTAGGTGTCTGTAGTGTAATGACTAACTCCCTGTTCTCTCTGTCTGTAGGTGTCTGTAGTGTAATGACTAACTCCCTGTTCTCTCCGTCTGTAGGTGTCTGTAGTGTAATGACTAACTCCCTGTTCTCTCTGTCTGTAGGTGTCTGTAGTGTAATGACTAACTCCCTGTTCTCTCTGTCTGTAGGTGTCTGTAGTGTAATGACTAACTCCCTGTTCTCTCTGTCTGTAGGTGTCTGTAGTGTAATGACTAACTCCCTGTTCTCTCTGTCTGTAGGTGTGTCTGTAGTGTAATGACTAACTCCCTGTTCTCTCTGTCTGGTAGGTGTCTGTAGTGTAATGACTAACTCCCTGTTTCTCTCTGTCTGTAGGTGTCTGTAGTGTAATGACTAACTCCCTGTTCTCTCTGTCTGTAGGTGTCTGTAGTGTAATGACTAACTCCCTGTTCGCTCTGTCTGTAGGTGTCTGTAGTGTAATGACTAACTCCCTGTTCTCTCTGTCTGTAGTGTCTGTAGTGTAATGACTAACTCCCTGTTCTCCTCCGTCTGTAGTGTCTGTAGTGTAATGACTAACTCCCTGTTCGCTCTGTCTGTAGGTGTGTCTGTAGTGTAATGACTAACTCCCTGTTCTCTCTGTCTGTAGGTGTCTGTAGTGTAATGACTAACTCCCTGTTCTCTCTGTCTGTAGGTGTCTGTAGTGTAATGACTAACTCCCTGTTCTCTCTGTCTGTAGGTGTCTGTAGTGTAATGACTAACTCCCTGTTCTCTCTGTCTGTAGGTGTCTGTAGTGTAATGACTAACTCCCTGTTCTCTCCGTCTGTAGGTGTCTGTAGTGTAATGACTAACTCCCTGTTCTCTCCGTCTGTAGGTGTCTGTAGTGTAATGACTAACTCCCTGTTCTCTCCGTCTGTAGGTGTCTGTAGTGTAATGACTAACTCCCTGTTCTCTCTGTCTGTAGGTGTGTCTGTAGTGTAATGACTAACTCCCTGTTCTCTCTGTCTGTAGGTGCGTCTGCTGGGCGTGGTGTCTAAGGGCCAACCCACTCTGGTGGTGATGGAGCTGATGACCCACGGAGATCTGAAGAGCTTCCTGCGGGCCCTCCGCCCAGACTCCGAGAGTAACCCCACAGGGAAGCCCCCTCCCACACTGAAGGAGATGATCCAGATGTCAGGGGAGATAGCAGACGGCATGGCCTACCTCAACGCCAAGAAGTTTGTCCACAGAGATCTGGCTGCCAGGAACTGCATGGTGGCTGAGGACAACACTGTCAAGATCGGAGGTACAGTAGATTAAGACTGTAACAAACGTGTGATTCTCTCTGTGATGGTACAGTTTCAACAAGTACATCATGACTGGTGTACGAGCCTTGGGTGATGGAATGATGTACTGTACGAAGGTGGCTCTCGTGTGTGTGCCTGTGGTTGATATATATATATATACGACTGTGTTTCTCCAGACTTTGGTATGACCAGAGACATCTATGAGACGGACTACTATCGTAAGGGAGGGAAGGGTCTGCTTCCTGTCAGGTGGATGGCTCCTGAGTCGCTCAAGGACGGAGTGTTCACTGCTCATTCGGACTGCTGGTGAGGAAGAGATCATTGGGCAGAAGGGCCTGTCTGCTCAACCTGTTTAATCCACTCTATTCAATCTCCTGAGAGAAGAACATCTTTCTCCACTCCCCCTGTCTAACCCCCATAATGTCTATAGTAACTCTGTCACCACTTTGTTTTTATTCAGTTGTCACACTAGTCCAGGGGGATTCAAATCTTACCCCTACCATACGGCCTACGAGGTCCAGACTACTGCTGGTTTTCTGTTCTACCTGATAATTAATTGTACCCACCTGGTGTCCCAGGTCTCAATCAGTCTGAAAAACGATGAAATAAAGCAGGTGAACTGGTTTCCAGGTCCAGAGTTGAATTTCAGGGCACTAGTGTTTTATTTCTTTATTCACATCCTGTTTATTTTGGCATGAGATAATGTCTGTCTGTCTGTCCCCAGGTCGTTTGGCGTGGTGTTGTGGGAGGTCAGTACCCTGGCAGAGCAGCCGTACCAGGGCCTGTCCAATGAACAGGTCCTCAAATTCGTCATGGACGGAGGATACCTAGACAGACCAGAGAACTGTGAACAGAGGATGTAAGTGTCTCAAACACTAAACTTTTAGTGGATCATGGGATCTGTAGTCTTTTACATTGATACGCACTACCAAGCATACAAAGTACATGATGTATATTATTTTGACTTTGGTTAACAGTTTGAGTTAACACTACTATATGCCTACGATATTCCAGGGCTAGTTGTGCTTCAATGGGGACCAACAGAGGTAAGCTGCTTGTGGATAGAGCCCATAGATTCTCTCTCATTCATCCATCTTTCTCCTCCTCCTCCTCCTCCTCGCTCAGCCACAACCTGATGTCTATGTGCTGGCAGTACAACCCCAAGATGCGTCCCACCTTCCAGGAAATCATTGAGATGTTGAAGGAGGACCTTCACCCCAGCTTCCAGGAGGTGTCCTTCTTCTACAGCGAGGAGAACAAGCTCCCAGAGACAGAGGAGTTTGACTTGGACCTGGAGAACATGGAGAGCATCCCGCTGGACCCGTCGTCCTACTCCGAGAGAGAGGACAGAGACAGTCTTCCCAGAGACGAGGGACCCAGTCAGGGCCTGAGGGGCAACTACGAGGAGCACGTGCCCTACACACACATGAACGGTGGCAAGAAAAACGGACGAATCTTATCGTTGCCCAGATCCAGCCCTTCCTAACATTTCCTCCTCTTTTCAACCCCTTTGTTCTATCGTTTTCTAATTTTTTTTTTTTTTTAGTTTTATTACTCTTTCAGAACCCCTTCAAAAAACCAGATCTCAGGACCTTTATTATATTTCCTCCTCACAGCTGCCAAGCATGGCGGCACAGGATGCAAACGTTTTGGTACATGTTGAGACATTTTAGCATCTATCCAGAATCATCTACTACAACTTTCTACTGTCTTTATTTAGTTTTCACTATTGCCAAGTTTCCAGGACTGGTCGATGGAGAGAAAAACAGCTTAAACAACCAGAAGGCTGCTTATGATCCAAACCTCTTTCTTTCTCTCTCTCTCTCTCTCTCTCTCTCTCTCCTCTCTCTCTCTCTCCCCCCTCCTCCCCAGGCTGTCCCGTCTCTCCTCCATTCTCCTGTTTTGTTTTTCAAATGAAAACGTTTTTCGGATAGTGGCCTTTTTATATGTGGCCTATAAACAAAGAGAAGTGTATCAATGCTTGTATTCTTTTCCTTTGAACAATGACTACACAGTTTGGAACCGTGGGATGGCACAGACTCTCTCCTAGAACAAATGTCTATTCCTAGAGGAAAAAAGGCTATTTTTTCTGCAGAATACCAAACTTCACAGATTATTGTGGTGTTTGGTGAATAGTTGTAATTTATTAGCTTTTGTTTTTTGTCTCATCTCTTTTTAAGTTTTATTTCTGTGTCCTCGCATTATGGCTGAAGGATATTTAAACAGTTAAAGTTCCTCCGACTGACCAATAGCTGCTGCTTTGATATATTTTAGTGGGTATAGAATATATATAGAATATATATAGTATATATGGAATATTGGTTTTTATATCAATATTTTATATATGATATATACGATATTTATGTTCTTGTAAATAGTTCATGTTTGTAATGTTTTCATCTGAGGCTTTGCTGGTAAGATCTTTTTTTTTGTCAATCTCTTTTATTCTTTTGTAATGTTTCTTACCCTGGAAATGACACTAATAGATCATCAATGCTCTGTGCCTCAGACCTCCACACATGGTTTTACTTCTCTGTCAAACCCTCAGGAGAACCCTGTTCTCCTCGGCATCAAAGGGCAGCCCACCATTTTAGAAAAATCATGGCATCTTTCAAATGTTGTTCTTCTGTCAGTGGAAGAGTTTGGGTGGTAACTATGCTAAAACTGAAATGGGAATGAATGGCTTCTTGTTGTCCTGTCTGGTGCATCTTTGGTCCGATGGAACCATGGTCTAGACGTCGTGTTATCTGTTGTTGAACATTGATGTGATTATATTCATGTGTGTATCTATGGTTGATCATTAGCAATCTGTTGATTGGTTGGTATTATCAGTGGGGCTAGAGACGTGACGTCTGCTTGCTTGGACAGACGGCTTGTCCTGAGGATTGTACTTCACTGTCTTGTTCCGTTGGTAGTGGTGTTTATAGGCTCAGAGGTCAGAGGACACTGATTTATTGATCTATATCTCCTCCAAGCTGACTGGAGATCGGGTCAGAAGCCCATATAGGTGGATGTATTGCAGGAACCCATAGCATCAGTGCTTGGATAGAGATCCCCTGCGGTACTTTATACGAGTGGCTACCTAGCATCAGCTCTACTCCATCACAACCCTGTGTCCTCATCCGACTAGGTTTCTTCTGACCCTACCTCCACCCCTTCACCCCCGTCCTCACATAACAACAGACAGTCTGACAGCCCATTGGCTGTACTGCTCGCTGACACAGGAAGGAGGTCACAATCAGGCTGGCTGCTGGTGGAATTTTCCATGTTACTGTGGTTGAATGCTTTTGATTTGGAACGTTCTGGAAAGTTCCTGTTGAGTTCAGAGGCTACGGCGGGCGGCGGCAGCAGAGGGGGGAGAGCGAGGGAGCAGTTAGATGGTGTATGTGTCGGGGTTAGCGGAGCGAGGTGGTGGCGGGGGGGGTGGGGGGGGCTATTAATCCCATTAGACCCCTCTATCACATGTAGTGTGTGAGTCAGGACATGCTGGAGCTGCTGTCTCCCCCCCACCCCCCCAGGGCTGGGCTGACATTCCACTATAGGCGCTGGAGTCCGTGGCGTTCTGTTAGGACTCGCCATGTGCCCGTTATTCACAACCCCTCCTCCGTCCCACCCTGAAGTAAAAGATATTGAACTCAATCCCACACCCTCCCATTTGGATTGTGGTGTACATGCCTCTCTGGAGGACCTCTCCCCACAATTTAGATTGTAACCCATCGCTCCAATATCTAAAGACGGGTGATGAAATTGTACCTCTGCCCATTTTAAAGTCAAATTACTATGTTCCAAACAGACATCAAAACATTCCTGTCAGCTTTTCCCAGCACAAGACTAAGCCCTGATTTTAAAAAAATAAAAAAAGTACACACACAATCACACATACACACATTCTATCTGGCGGAAACCACAAATTGTTGTTAAGGACACAGGTGGATTGTGAAGTGTCCACATAACATTTCCATTGAGAAGCACAAATAACCCTATCATTAGTGGTTCACCACATTATCCCTCTCTCTAGTCAAAGGCAGCGACACTCTTGTCTGTTGTCAGAAGCATCGATAAGGGACAGAAAAGCATACAGGAGCTAAGGGCAAGTCAATCTGGTCTGCATCCATCCGCTCAGCCTGGTGTTTACAGTAATAGGCCTGGCGTTAACCCTAACCCGCCCATTCATCATCGCCCAGTTATCTCCGTTAACCCCTCTGTCTGTCTGTCTGTCTGTCTGTCTGCCTGCCTGTCTGTCTGTCTGTCTGTCTGTCTGTCTGTCTGTCTGTCTGTGTCTGAGATGGTGGAAGCGCTGCTCATCAGCCTCCATCCAGTGCCTTCTCAACCAACCACAGACCAGCGAGATGGATGTACATTGTACAGGTTGGGAAACACACACTCATACTAATGAGTGTAGCTACGTTGTGTGTGTGTGTGTGTGTGTGTGTGTGTGTGTGTGTGTGTGTATTTATACATGTCAGACAGAGGGAGAGAAATACTTATCTTAGATGGGAGCTAAACCTATACCGTAAATATCAAGTTGTGTTTAGAGATGTTGAAAAATATATGACCGTTGCTACTTAAGTTATATCTAACTGTTGCTATGGGGAACTTCAGCTTGTGAGAGGTCTTTGTGGCTAAATGTTTCGTCTGTTGTAAGGTTTGAATTGCAAGTCCACTTAGTCCAATGGTGTTCAAAGTTGAAACACTGTTAAACTACCCTTTTTGATTCTTGCCAATTCTTGAGAATTTGATCTACTCCAATTCAAGATGTTACTCGAATGCCCAGAATAAGAAAAAAGAAAAAAAGATTCAAATCGGTTCCAATCTCATACTTTTGGTGGATCTCAATTTCTACATATGACCAGCCCAGATAGAGTTAAATGGTGGATCTCAATTTCTACATATGACCATTGTCTCTTTATGGCAGTGTATACAAGTGTATGCAATTTTTAATTTAGAAGATCACCATATCTTTAAGAAATTACAGATATTGAATATTTTATTTATTTTATTATGATCGTTGTCGTTGTACAAAAAAACCCAGTTAGCTTTTTAGTCCGTTTTTTAAATGTTGAAAGTCAGGTTAAAAAAAAAAAAAAAAAACTATTTTGTTAAAGAGTAGAGCTATAAATGTCAGAAGGAGTTGGTAGTTGTATGGTCTGTGTGTTTGACCACAGTCTACCTCAGGGTGTTTGGAGGAATCAGTTCGAGGCTACAACATCTCTCTCCGTTTATCAGTCCGTCGTTTTTCCTGGAGCCCAATCAGAGGACAGGGACTCTGCCCACCCGTGACCACTGCTGTGACATCATCATACCGTGGACAGAATGCTATCACAATATAGAATCCCGCTAGATCTAACTCAAACAGCAAGTTCTCACTCCATGTCAGTCAGTCGTCTTTACAACCAAGTAGATGAATCCCCAGTGTAGTGTAAAGCACAATCTCAAAGCGTTTTTAAACATTGCTACAAAATCTGATTTGAGTAGTAATGTTAGTTCTAATTGGAACGGGTAAATCAGGCAAGAATATGGTGTTATAACTACAACCTTTTGACTGGTGATTGTCACGCAAGAAGGGTTAGGGTTCCTGCTCCCTTTATTTGCGTAGAAGCTCGGATTCCGAAGCATCAGGTTTGGTTTAATGTCCTTTTGAAATGAACAGTTTCAAAGTTTAAAATACCTGCTAGCTAGCTGATAGCTGCTCTACCTATTTACATACATTGTTCTAGGGAAGACATGATTTGAGCTTTTTATAGAAATTCTGCATCAAGACAAGAGTAGTCCAAATCATAAATGCATATCTCTTGATCACATACATACAGCCAAAGTATTCTATAGCTCAGCTACGCCTTGGTCATGCTGTTCACCAATGACACAATAGATGAACTCCTCAATGGTTGGTTGTTGGTGGGTGTTGTATCTCCTTCTCTCTCTCTCACGTTAGGACTCGACCTATTCTCTCTCTCGAAGCGCAGAGAGAACTCGCGCTCTCGGTCTCGCTATGAGGCTCGCCGCGTGATCGGGAGCGCGGCAGAGAGCTGCTCGCGCGGCGCGCGAGCCTCTAGAGCGCGCGAGTAGAGATCAATAGAGGGCTGACGCGCGAGAGCGAGAGCGAGCGAGAGAGAGAGAGAGCGCGAGGCGCGAGTAGCGCGAGGGAGAGAGCGATGAGCTCGAGGGGAGAGAGAGAGAGAGCGAGCGAGAGCGAGAGAAGCGGGGAGAGAGAGAGAGAGAGGTATCGAGAGAGATGAGAGAGCGGAGAGAACGCGCGAGAAGAGAGCAGAAAGGAGATAATGAATCTAGAGCGGATAGGAGATGAAGGCTAGTCTCGAATGCTCTATCCTTCTCTCTACTCGTCTTCGCTCGCTCGCTATGCTTCTCTCGGTCTCCACTCGGTCGACTCTCTCTCTCTCTCCTCTCATCTATCTCTCTATATCTCTCTATCTCCATCTATATCTCTCTTCTCTCTCTCTCTCTCTGTCTCTTCTCTCTCTCTCTCTCTCTCTCTCAGAGAGCTCCTTGTCTGCTCAGTCAGTCAAATACGGACAGCATTTAGTCTCGAGGCTTTTTGATGCATCTTCAAGAAGTGTTTTTATTTCTCTGTAGTTGTTTGCGTTTATGTTGTATGTATTTTTTTTCTACTGTGAATATCAAGAAATTACGTTATTATATCAATGCCACCGACGCGGTCTGTCTGGACACTGCATGCCTCCACTGGTCAAAGGACTTTTCCCTAAGAGCTGGACTAGGACAATCCCATGTGCCATAATAAACAGAAACATGTATTCTAGATTGTAACTTCTCAGGGAGGCATGAGCTTTGCGGTGTTGGAGGATGGAAGGAGCTACCTACCCGTCTGACTGAAGTGGAAGTTCTCTCGTCATCCTAGCAACTTATATTTTTTTGGTGGGAGATGTAGCCAACAAGTTGTCAACAAACAAACAACCAACCGACCCTTTGTGAATCAAACATTTTTTTCAGCTCTTCAAAGATAATGGACATGATGACTGAATGAATGCTTGTTATCATTGTGATCCGTGGTGTTCACTGCCCCCAGGTGGCTGGATGTGAAAGTGCAGCAACTGGACCTTTGTGCAAAGCCAGGGCTCTGTCCCATAGTGCCTTGCTCAGACTAACTGCCCTCCTCCTGACTACACAGCCAGCCAGACCCTCAGTGCCCTGGACTGGACTGGACTGGACTAGGCTGGAACTGGACTGGACGGTTCTGGGACTGGACTCGGACTGGACGGACTAGTTGACTGGACTGGACTGGACTAGTCTGGATGGACTGGACTGGACTGGTCTGGACTGGACTGGATGACTAGTTGACTGGAATGGACTGGACTAGTCTGGACTGGACTGGACTAGTCTGGACTGGGACTAGTCTGGACTGGACTGGACTGGACTGGACTGGACTGGACTGGACTGGACTAGTCTGGACTGGACTGGACTGGACTAGTCTGGACTGGACTGGACTAGTCTGGACTGGACTGGACTAGTCTGCTCTGGACTGGTCTGCTCTGGACTGGTCTAGTCTGCTCTGGTCTGGACTAGTCTGGTCTGCTCTGGACTGGACTGGTCTGCTCTGGACTGGTCTAGTCTGCTCTGGTCTGGACTAGTCTGGTCTGCTCTGGACTGGTCTAGTCTGCTCTGGACTAGACTAGTCTGCTCTGGACTGGAATGCTCTGCTCTTGACTGGACTAGACTGTCTCCTCTCCTCACTCATCACCAATAGTCAAGGAATAAACCCCCAACGAACCCCCACAGCAGGAGAATACTGGAGTATCGACATATTATGCATTCTAAGATGGGAGAGAGGTGTCTTCTGTAACTCATAGCTCCAGTCAGAGGGAGGTAACACTTCCCCTCTGCTTGGATGGATCGATGATTCATCATATTACTGTATTGGGATAATTATGTGAACCATATTCATGGTTTTACCAAAATGTTGAACTTCTTGTCTTTACTTGGGCGAAGCTCTGACTTGCTTTGTGCATGAACCCAAATCCCCAGCTGATAGTTTGTTAATTTGATGCTAATAGAATTGTGTATCTCGGCCATCTCTCTTTGTTGATTAAAACCCAACACCCAAAGCACATGGGATCATCTATAATTAGCAACAATTGATTGCATGACATGGGAGAATAGAACTCCCCATTTAAAATGCATACTGTCAATTTTGTATTAAAACTAATCAAAACTTTTAACTGTAAATAGCGGCAGATATCCCCGAAAAAATTTTAAGCACTTGATTTAAAGGGTAATTTAGTTTTAGTTTAAAACTCTTGATCACCTGAACATGTGGCTTGCCAGAGCATGTTAGTGATGCTGCAGCAGGTTCACAACAAACCATCATTCTGTGGATTGTTTCAAAATGAAAAAAAGTATTACATTTAGAGATGTTGATTTCAATTTTTATTTTTTTATTTTACCAAAATAAGAGGGCAAATACAATTACTTTTCTGACTGTAAACTTGTACTACTCTTGTACATTATTGAATTTAACATTGTTATCAATGTATATTACTTTTTCTAAATAAACATCTAAACTTATCATGACACTACCCAACTACCCTGTGCGGAGCAGAGCAGAGCAGATGAGAGTTCTGTTGTTTTACTGTTGGAGTAGCACATCTCTGGCTTGATGGGCTACATGTGTTTCATGACATATGTGGCCTGAAATGTTAATTTGATCATGTTCTATCCCATTTCTAAATGCACGTTCCCATGTTTGGGAACAACTCGTGTGTTTTTACCACCCCAAGAATCACAATAGCCATGTCAATCATCTGTTTTGATTTTTTGATTTTTGTAAAAAAATAATAATAATAATCTCTCATAATATAACCAATTGCAATGTTATGGAATGAAACGTCCTTGTTTCGGACCAACAGCCTACAGAAAATGCATATCGCTTTTTCGATGTGAAAAACTGGAAAAGACCACTGCACGTTCTTTGAGGGAAAACACTAGATGAAATCCTAATAAATAAATAAGCTATAAAAATGTATCAGAATCAAAAGGTTCTACCCCAGTCTAATGTGGGTGTCGCTCTAAAGACTGCCAAGCCATTTAAACATGGCCTGTAGGGGGCAGTATGAAGAAAAACACCTTCAGCTATGTATTAGGTACAATGTCTGTTAGTAGTGCGATGAAACGTACACATGTGTAAGGTTGTAGTTGGTACGGTTTAAAGAAATAGACGCCACTTTTTAAACTGATTGGGCCGAACTAGACTACATCTACACAATCTGCAGATGTAACAATTTATATATTATGTTTACCCTTGCTGAAACTGTTTTTGTGTTTTGTTATTCAATGGTCAAGTCA